CGTGCACGAGTTTGAAACTTGTTCTGATTATATTTTACAGACGTCCTTTACGACTGTATGCATTACGCGTGAGTCTGGTCGGTCCTGATTTGACGCCTTATACTGATCCACTTTTAGACTTCACCACACCAAGTTACCTGCATACTTGCGGCATATGAAGAAATACCACCTTGCGCACCACTACAAGAACTTCGAGCTAGGTTTCGGTGTTACCAGCAAGATCTGGGACTACGTCTTCAAAACCGTGCTTCCCGTATGAGTTCACTTCGTGGTTGCGACTAGATAAGCTTGTCTCTTACATTTCATCACCTCAATTTATTGGGCATTTTCAGTACATTTTTTACTTACACTTCGCGGACCAATATAATGTTCATCACCCACGGATTAATGCTTTCAATCATTGTCCCTATCGTAGTTGAACAAGATATGCTACATACAATGAGTTCCTACTATGATACTTGACCGTACCGGTGGGGCGTTTACCGGCGTTAAATTTCTCCAGTTAATTTATAGACTTACTGCAGAACATTTTCTGGAACGATTGGGCCCATGGCTTTACCGTCCTTTGAATGTCCACCTCCACCTGCTTCGCTTATCATTTCCTTGTGGCAGTTGACAATGCTTTTGGTATGTGACAGCCTAGGCCTGAAGTTGAACCAGGCTGCCAGTGGTCTAGCGGTTGTGAAACTATCGCAACGTGACTGATCGTGTCTATTTGTTCGATACATTTTCTCGCCATAAGTACATTGCTGCATCGACTTGTGTTCGACTGGTGTTGTACTACTAATTTCTCAAGCTTATCTCGCCGAGCAAGCTGTTTATACACCGCATGCATGCACATCCGGGCGGGCCGATTCTGCTGTATCACAACCCGGGACGGACAAAATCACTCAAGTGACCTTCCTGCCTGACCGATATTATACAGTACAAATGATTTGAGACGAATCCTGCACGAACCATATCTCCCAGGTTGTTCTTCCACAGTAACCTCCCCACCAAAAGCTTTCCATCGTTGATATCGGCGAAACCTCTTCTCAGGGAAAAAATGGATACTATGAACGCTGTCCGCTACGAGGCTGTGAGTTTCATGTTATCATGATACATTCGTTCTCATTTCATCTACATCAGCCGCGGCAATTCGGCATGCAAACTGTACCAATTCCTACAATAAATGATGATGAGCTCTTGATCAAAGGTGCGCACTTCTGGTAATTTTCTAGCAGTGGTTCTGATATTGATTTTTTCAGTCTCATGCTGTGGTAAGCTCCACGCACGGCACCCGTAAACACTCTGTGTGTGTATTTAACCAACCACAGGTATATGCGGAACCGACGGACATGTGCACGAGGGAGAATTCATCGCGAAGTTTCCTGTGAGTATTCGCAACAGCAAATCCAAGCGTATTTTGAGACTGATCTGCCGATCACAGCTAATCCCTGGCCACGAAGTAATTGGGACAGTTGCCAAAGTCGGCAGTAATGTCACAGGGTTCGCTGAAGGTGACCGGTGTGTTGCCGACCCAGGGGTTACAGTAAATCCAATTCTCCAGTACATTGAGAGCATAACTTGATAACTTTACAGTGCGAGTCATGTTTCTATTGTAGACGGGGGCAGTCTCTGCTATGTGAGAACTTCAATGGCAAAGGAGTTACGATGGCAGGAGGATTCGCTGAATACGTCGTATTGTGAGTGTCACCACTACTAAACCCACACATGTTATACATTTGCTCATTTGTGCAGCGAGGCTAAGAAGACTTACAAGATCGTGAACCTCACCGATGAAGAAGCAACACTTGTCGAGCCTGCTGCTTGCGCCATTCACGGGATGGATAAGCTCAACGCACCTGTAGGCATCGATGCGTTGGTGATTGGTGCTGGCCCTACCGGGCTGATTCTCGCACAACTACTCAAACTGAACGGCGCTGCCAATGTTGTTATTGCTGCGAACAAGGGCATTAAGACTCAGATTGCACAGGATCTAGGGGCCGGTGACTCCTATGTTGAGCTTGATAGAGAAAATCCTGCACCTCAGTGGGAACAACTAAGGAGGGACCATCCGTATGGATTTGATGTAGTCGTAAGTGATTTGCAGGACTAATGACCTAAGTCGAACTTGAATTAATCGTTTCAGGTTGAGGCTACTGGCAATGAGGCGGTCGCGAATGACTCCATTAACTACGTCCGGCGGGGTGGTACTCTCATGATCTACGGCGTTTACTCTGATAGCGCTCGTGTCCACTGGCCCCCTTCCAAAATATTTGGGGATGAAATCAAGGTGTGTGGAGTAATACTTACTGTTCACTTCTTGCTTATAACTCGAGTAGATCATTGGCTCATTTGCTCAGACTCATTGTTTCCCTCGAGCCATAGCGTACCTTGACAGTGGTAAAGTGAAAGTAAAGGGCATGGTATGCGCGAACCGTACTCTAACTTGGCCAACCACATTAATGTTTTCTAGGTCACTGACGTGTTCAAGATCAGCGAATATCAGCAGGCACTTGATAAAATGAACAGCAGAACCGCCTTGAAGATTGCAGTGAAACCGTAATGCCAAGTTGTGTCCAGGCTCCTTCCCACCACTGCTGGGGAGATAAGGAGGGATCTGGGAGTACAAGAGTAGCATTAATAGAAACCGCAGACTTCGTGCAACTTCAAATCCAGTTTATTCCCTCTAATTACAAACCGGAGTGTAAAGGATCTATAGCAACACGGGCAGTAACTGCATCAGGAACGTTTTTCTAACTTAAAAGTTGTATCCACTCGTCAATTGAACGATGTAGGATGTTCACTTCATTGTGCAAAATTACCACCATGCCCCTAAGGCGTGTGAGATTTGGGAGTCCGGGCTGGTTCAGGGTCTTAAGTTACGGCGGGTCCCTCATAACTTGAAATTATACGTTACTATAGTTTTCCATGCATCCGACGGCACGATTTCCGAGCAAGCCCCACACTCATCCCTTCACCAGCGATGTTATCTCTGCTCAGTATATTGGCAGGGATTGTGCTGCTTACATATCTCTATGTTCGCTTCAATGACCAAGGATTATCCCAACTTCCGTCGGAAGCCCTAGCGTTCTCACCCAACCGGCTCACACCACATGTCGTCCGTGAAACTGCTGAAAAGCTTAGCAGCTCCCCGAAAATTGTAAAGGATATACTTCCAGCAAAGACTGGACGTCGGTATATCGTAGTTGGTGTAAGCAACCCCATTGCATCTAGCGCTCTGATCTTGATGCTGACTTTTTTGGTATAGGCTGGCTTTTTGGGCGGCTGGATCATTATCCAACTTCTGCAACGTGGGGAAGACCCAAAGAAAATCAGAATCCTCGACATCCGTGCCCCGACTCGTTCAGATCTGCGCACCGGCTTGGCCTCGCAGGTTGCTTTCTTCAAAGTAGACATTTCTAATGCGAAAGCTGTGGATGATGCGTTCCAGGCTCCGTGGCCAGATTCCGACCCTTCAGATACAGAGCCAGAGGTCACTGTCTTTCACACCGCTGCCAATATGCGCTTTTATGAGCGTCATCTTGCACTACTTCCGCGTTCTTCCAAAGTCAACCATGAAGGGACTCAAAATGTGATCAACGCAGCACGATCCATAGGTGTCACGGTCTTGGTGTATACCTCATCTGGATCTATCTCTGTCCGCAGATCTCGCTTTTGGCTATGGCCTTGGGAGAAGCATCCCAAGCACTTTGTCCAAGTAATCAATGACGACGATAACCTCATTCCCAAATACCATGACCATTTCTTCTCCAACTACGCTGCGTCTAAGATCCTCGGACAGAGAGCAGTGAGAGCTGCTGATGGATCTCGATCTGGCAAGAAGATACTTCGGACGGGATGTATTCGTCCTGGCAATGGCGTGTTTGGCCCCGGCGGAGATCTTATATGCGGTGCCTACCTAATACGCAAGTACAACTACACCTGGGTTGCTAACATCATGCAATCCTTCGTGTATGTCGAAAACTGCGCTCTGGCCCACCTCTGCTATGAAGCACGTCTCCTCGAAACTGCAAGAGGTGGATCCAACCCTGACCTCGGTGGGCAGGCATTTACCATCACGAATACTGGTCCACCAGTCACATATAGCGATATATACGTAGGATTGACGACACTGGCTCCTGAAACTACGTTCACAGAGATGTCACCCACCCTTATGCTTTTCATATCGCAGATTATAGAGGTTCTTTACCTCTCACGCGCGTTCTTGAAAATGTCTTCGTTGCCTATGCGACGTGCGCTTGCACATTTTATACCCAACATAGTTGGAGACACCATCAATCTGCAACCATCTTTGTTCGCGCTCGTATCTGTGCACCTCATTTTTGACGATTCCAGAGCTCGATTGCCGCCTGAAAAAGGTGGTCTGGGTTATCACGGTCCATTCACGACTCTGGAGGGGCTTTGCAGGACAGCGGAGGAACACTTCAAAGCTGGTGAAAATGGGGAAGGAATATCAAACTCCGGTGGTATTAGCTTAGATTTTTTCGGACTTAACAAGTCTCGGAAGGAAATGAAGATGAACAAGATGGAGAAGAGGGTCAGTGATCGGTTACATGTAGAGGCCGTTGATGTACTGGGGTGAGGCTTACCGACTTACTGATACAGGTATGACTAGCAATTCGATTGTGGGTAGGAGATTGTTTTGCTGAGCAATAGGAACTGTTGATGACTGCCATCCGCGCTCAACCGGTATTCGAAAATCGTCCGTGACCATCAAATGAAAACAAGTGCCTATAACATTGTGGTTCATCGCGTTTCGTCTCCTCATTGAGCTTCACGAGGAGCTACATCTGTGCGCTTTCTTCTCGCACTTGTGTTATTCGTCTCACGCCTGGTTGTAGATGCTTATACGCTTTCTTGCAAACACCATGTCTATCCAAGGGACCGCTTGCTTTCATAGCTGCGGCTCCTTCTGTTGTTGAAATTGAAACCATTCGTCTGCATCGCATGTTGCTTGCATATTATCGCCTTCTCCGTGCTAATCTTCCCAAGCATCTGCTATGGGACGGGTCGCTATTATCCAAACTATTCTTCCCGCCTCACCCTGATACAGGTGTACGATTACTCGGTGCTATGCATCGCATATTAGTATGGCAGAAATTGAGTGCGAGAGGCTTATCACTCATGTCCTCGGCGAGTCTTGTGGCGTTGACTGTCCAATTAACTATGCGCAGACTATCGATGGGACTGTCATTGAGACCGACAGCTGGCTCGTATCTACATTGGAGATAAAGCGTATTCACGATGCACGCGACAGGATGTTTTGCAACCTCTCTGGGAGGCAGACCTGAGGTCTGTTACACACTGACGTGCAAGAATACTTCGGCTCATACGTTTCTGATCCTGCCACTGGCAAGCTCGTTGCTTGTCCATGCTCTCCGACATGGACATTGGATTGTACTGGACGAGCTGAACTTGGCACCTACAGACGTGTTGGAAGCTCTTAATTGGTTGCTAGACGACAACCGGGAGCTCATCATTCCGGAGACACAAGAGGTCATTCGCCTACATCCACACTTTTCGCAACGTAGTACTAGAATCCTCCTGGCCTATATGCAGGGAGCAAGGTTTTGTCCCGTGCCTTCCGACATCGTTTCCTCGAGGTTCACTTCCAGGATGTGCCTCAAGCGGAGCTTGAAACCATTCTCTGCCAGCGTTGCCGTATCGCGCCTTCCTATGGCCAGAAAATCATCAGCGTGTTCCGTGAATTACAGCAACGTCGTCGGTTCTGCAACTTTTCGTGATCTCTTTAGATGGGCCGGTCGTGATGCAGGAGGTTATCAAGAGTTGGCAGAGAATGGGTATATGCTACTTGCAGAATATATTATGCGCTGTTACCGACTCCTGCTATCAGCATATGTTTTTCATTCACGGATTCGGTTCACGACAAGCCCAGATCTTAGTAGGGGTAAGGTACTTGGTTCCAACGAAGTCGAAGTCGAGGGGAGAAATCAATGAAGCGACTTCCAGGTCATGAAAACGGCGAACTGGATTTGTCCACTTGTACTCCTAAACAACTGCCAGACGTTGGCTACCTGCCTGTACCCTCTGCAATTTTCGTTCACTTTTCAATAATTGGTGCTTCTAAACGTCTTCGAACATTTTTCCAGCTTCGATGGTTTAGCGAGTAATACTTACACTTCTTCAAAAATCATAAAGGACATCTACGAGGGAGTCTGTACATTCCTGGCAATGAAAGACTTCTGGTGCCCTCGGTTGCATGACTGTCGGGAAACCCAACTCATGTATATATACATACTCGGTCCTACAATCTAGTCCGACAACCTGATATCCGACGTACTTCCGGCTTGGTGCCTCTTGGTCAAAAACACGATGAACTGTCACCACTCAAGTCGCACCGTAAGATAGACTGAGATAAAGAATCAAAGATTAAGCACAATATCGGGTGTATACAGTAAGGTAACTTCTATTCGGTGGTATATTACTTACAAGACCATCTCAGAATTTGCTGCTCTATTGCTGATCATTCTCCGGCGCAAAGGGCCAATCCGAATAACCCGCTGGTGTGAGATTGCCGCGCATGTACCATGTTGCTTGGTCACCCCGCTCAAGCGCAATGCCCTTTCGCAGACGGAATGGAAGATCGGGCTAGTAAAGGGGATGTGTTAGTCACTGCCTAGTCTAGGAAACAAATAACTCACGTTTGGCATAAACAACCTCCCGAATCCAATGAGGCCGCCTTTCTTGTCTACCGTCTCAATTGCGGTATTCCGGGTATATCCGTTTGTGCTGATGAAGTTACTGCCCTCAACCCCTTGCCAGATATCACGGAGGAAATCGCTGTTTTTCTCAGCAGTGACTTCGGCAGGCATCGGCTCTACCACGTGGATGTATGCGAGTTTGTGTTTGCGCAGCTGCTCAACCATGTAGGAGAATTGGGGTTTTGGGTCTGCCATGCCCATACCTACACCACAAATCAGCTAAATAAAGATCGCCAGTATTGAATGATGTGACACGTACCGCTGAGTATGCCCCAGGGGCTCATTCGGAACCCCGTTCTCTCAGCACCAACGGCCTCCACAACGGCATCCGTTATTTCGAGTGCAAACCTTGCGCGATTCTCGATGCTTCCCCCGTATTCATCTGTGCGTTGGTTACTGACGTCTTGCATGAACTGGTCGATCAAGTAGCCATTTGCACCGTGAATTTCAACGCCATCGAAACCAGCTCGAATGGCATTTTTTGCGGCGGTGGCATACGTGGCAACATACTCCTTGATTTCATCCTTGGTAAGTGCGCGTGGCACGTCTGTTTTGCCAGGCATGAAGATGGGTGAGGCACTGACGTGGGGACTATTGTCTTCCTTGGCAAGAACGGCTGGGTCTGCGGTGCGGCCGAGCGCCCAGAGTTGTAAAAAAATGAAAGAGCCCTTCTCATGGACTGCTTCTGTCACCTGCAGTCCGGGGCGTGAGTCAGCTCTCATCATTGTTGAGCAAGATACAACATACCTTTTTCCATCCCTCCAGATGGGCATCGGTATATATCCCAGGAACATTATCATAACCACCAGCGTTCTGAGATATGAACGTGCCCTCTGTGATAAGAAGAGTTCCAGGGGTAGACCCTCTCTGAGAGTAGTACGGTGGAGCTTCTGGAGTTGGGACGTGATCCGCGTGTGCACGTATACGAGTGAGTGGGGCAAGGACGACGCGGTGCTGCAAGTTGATGTTGCCTACGCGGATGGGGGAGAAGAGTGCGGAGGTCGAAGAATCAGACATGGTGAACTAGGTATGAAATGCTTTGAATGGTATTGATTGGAGATCTTGAGACGGGAATCCACATCGCGTATTTTATAGCCAACCTCGACAGGCTGAACGAGTTTAAGATAGATAGATTTGTCAGGCTGGCTGTGGACCATCAGGAAATCCTGGGTGGCACGCAGCAAGCGCTGGGCTGACTGATTCTGAGTAGCGATGGCAGAAGCTGTCGGATTTTAAATTATTCATCATCGATTATAAATATGCCCACAATTGAAGGCCTGTTCAAACAAGTCACGGTATACCGGCTGTTGCACATCAACCACAGTGTCAGTAATTATTAATTAAGATCTGTCATTCTCCGAGTCGATGCATGAGTCAGAATTTGACAAACCGAGCGGTCAAGGTAAGCCTCCAAACGTTCAAGCGATATCGTTTTCAAGATATCGCTGTAAAGTGCTAGATGCAGTGCTCAAGCTCAAGAATGGACTTTGCGAGTCGCGACACTGACATCTCATAAGCGCGGTGCAATGCCGCCATTTACAGCTGCCAGTCGACAAAATGGATTCTGACCTTGGCCCTGATGATATGAAACGCGTGTCACAATTTTTCATTTCCGACAAAATGTGGAGGCATCACCATGCAGAACTAAGTCATATCACGCGCAAGCATGAGACGATCCAGTGCCTATCAGATCTCCCCTACATCGCTGTCCTTCTCGACCTCAATGTGGTCCTGGACCCCCGAATTTTTATAGGTGTGAATCTCTGCGCTTCTTTTATTGCTTCCCAATTTTTGGTTTAGTGTTTTTGCCGACGAAGTCCCATACACCACAAGCCGGTTTGAGCATCTCAGATGGCACTAAAAGATATCTACTGATTTTACATTCGTTGTGGTTGACACAGCGGTGAGTGATATGGTTCTTGATTGCAACCGGGATATAGCAGAGATCGTCGAGAGATTCGTTTAACTGCGCACGACTGTTACTTCGGTGGGATCGTTCAGTTTGTATGGTTTCTGATCAACTGATGTTGTTACAAGGGTTCAGACAACGATAATTATGTACACGGCTCTTCAGTAAAACAGTCCAATCGCTATTCAAGCTCGAAATCTCAATTAATAAGTACCGCATCCAAGCAGAAGACATGATCCAAGATATGCTGTCGGAAGCTCCCATGTTACCATCGGTCGATGCTGTCCAATTGTAATGCGTCATTCATGATCATAGTCTGCAAATAGAGTCGTCGCGAGAAGAAATGAAGGTCAGGCTTGAGTTTTCATCAATTGAGGGCGGAGTGCATGTAGTCTCAAAGAAGAAGGCAGCCGATTAAACCTTGCGCCAGCTACTGGTGGTTAGACTCGCGACCGACCGCGCATACTACTGCCTCATCATCTCAAGCTGACGTATAGTCAGACTGGTCACGAGTCTAGGCGTCAGGACGAGGGCAGTATTAGGCCATCGATCAACATTTATGACGCCATATTAATAGTACCTAGCCATACTATCACAGCGTGTGTTCACACCTAAAGTTTGACGTAGAAATTTGAACTTCAACGTTCAAAGGCGATTCAGAATTCTAGACGATGTTGCAGTCTTTACTATCGGCTTTATCAAGAGACGTCGCTTTATTAGAACAACTCTGGCATTTCAATACAACAGTACAAGTCACGTCAAACGGCTGATATATTTATGTTTATACACACGGCAAGGCAGGTGCGCTTGCGCATGATATTTACTTCTTGCAGGTGCAGCTACCAACCTGGCAGTTGCAGCTATTGACAGACAGTCAGAATCTGGTTATTGAAGTACGTGTCACAGGGCAAAACTCACTTGGAGTTGCAGTTGCATTGCTCGGTGTTGTTGTTGATCATGATGATGGTGGTAAGTGCGGTTAAGCTGCAAGATGGTGTCAGTCGGGGGGCTCAGAACTGAGTCAGATAACTCACCTAGTATGTGAGGCAGATGATAGTAGAGCGGATTGCTGGAGGAAAAGCCAGCCAAAGAGGGGCCATTTTATATTGCTAACCATTAGCGCCGTGTGTCGGAGTAAAGACGATAAGCGGAAAGTCAAATCCTGCATGTGTCTCTGTCAATCCCAGGATTGTCAACACTATCATCATATGATACGACCCCACGGGGCACAGCAAGGGAGGTAACTAAGAAAAGGGGTCAGGTTCCGCTCCGCCCGACAAGATAAACACCTACAATAACTGTGACTCATGGTTGTCAATGCTACAAGGCACCATTGGAGTGAGATAACTCAACAAGACCAACTTCTGCTCCAAACCTGATAAAATAAAAGTACACCGGTCGGAGACAACCCCATCAGGATACGGAGATCGAGCCTTGAGCGTGTGGGTAAGCTAGGAGTGAAGCTAACTTGTAAGCTCATATACCTCAGTACCTCGATGGCTCAAGTGCAATGCAAAAGTAAGCAATCAAAGCAATGATCACAAGCTGTCTTACCAGTAGTACGTACTTAAATCGTAACAACGCGACGAACTCACGCCACTGCCAGTCTCCAACACCACAGTCTGGAAATCTCTCTCAGCCTCAAATTTCGCTCATGTTGTTCCTTCTGTGCCTCTGCCTAGCCCTCTGTAGTATAAGCTACTGGCTGGTCTTGACTCTTGAGCTTCCGCAATCCCAATGATTGCACTTGGATGCAATCGGGTCTGAGCAAGCTGAACTTGAAGTAAAGGATGGACGATCATGGACCAAATGATTTGAATACGGTCCAGGGTACGAAGTCATGAATACCTCGGGATCCATGGATATTACATTAAGTCGTAGGTTTAGTAGCACTACTAGCAGTTGCTTGAAGTGATTGTTCGAAATTATGTAAGTCAACCCTCAGCGCTCAGCGGCCGTACGCTTTCAGAGTCAGACTCGGGTGCCTCCCGCTCACATATTTTACACCAGTACGCATCAGAAACATCAACAAGGACGGCACTTGCAGGGGCAGAACAGTGCTCGCAATATGATGGTCCAAGCAGAAGCCAGACTGGCATAAGCCACCCCCACTGCGATCGTTGCCCGCGCTGTCAGCGAGTCGTACTAGTACTAACGCCTACTATACCAGATGTGGGGTTCCTGTTGAGTCTGGACTCACTTCCAGACTTCTCTCGAGTGGATTATCTAGGGCAGTCGGCAATCATTCCTCATCAAACTATCCCATATGTCATTCTGGATGAGCCAACCTACCTATAAACGAAACACCCACTGTTCATGCAACGGATGTGTGCGTTGGCCCACCTTCGAGATACTACAATCGACCGGAGATATACGTGAGCATTCATTCTAGCCTCTAGGCCTTCTGGGCGATGTCTCAAGAATCCGGATTTCACCGAAGATGTCCACTTATCGTGAGCGGTAGTACGCACCCAGATTTTTATTTCATTGTCCTACTGTCCTCTTCATTCGGACTTATGATTGGACTTGTCGAGGTCACTCTTGTTTAGCTACCATTCTTCCACACTTCCCCACGCACTTAGACCTTCACGCTTTACTTCCACAATATGCTTGGACCTGACCGTCTCGTATATAAGCCGCCATGTTTTCCCCAGTGTTTATTCACCACCTCACTCATCATCTGTCTTTCCACTTCGACGTATCGAAGTGTCAAACCCTTCTCCAACTTCCATAATCATAGAAAATATGCAGGTATGTTCTTCCTCTCCTGGCCTTATATGAATTCCCCCTTACGCATGTTTTAGTCCAACGCTTCTTCATCTAAAACCCCCCGTCGCTCTATCGTGCGCTCATTGCTTCAGGTGGGTTATTTATTTCTACTGTCCTTGTTGTGGCAACTCACAACTCCCCTTTAGCGTATCACAAAGAAGAAGGACACCAAAGATCCACATCCGAGTTTCCTGGATGTGAGTCTTCTCCCGGTTCTCGGTTACTATGTATATATTTAACACGACGAACCGTCAGATGCCCGCAGAAACTGAAGTTTGCCAACTTGAAGATCATGAGTTCTTCGCGTTTGATCCAGAGGATGATTTGCCTTCTGCCGACAAGTGAACTGGAGTTGTCATTTCACCCCGTTTTCGAGGCTTATGGGTTCAATATCATAACACATTGTTTAGGAATGTATACATAGTAGCATTTGGTGGATTGCCGGTCGTGCATCAATGAAAATCATCATAGCGTAGACATTTTTATCTCTGATCGCCGCCCGTTGAGGTACTAGATCGTCGCGTTAGACTCATCGAACATGATGGCGACCCGACAAGACCCTGTATCCTTCCAGGAAGTGATTTAGATCAATGTCATGCCGGCGCCATCTCATAAGTTACAAGTTAATGTTCAGGAAAATGCAATCAGCAAAGAATCGTGGTCTTGCGATGAACGTGGCCAATTTCGAATTCACTTGGCCTGGGCCAATGAAGTGGCTAAAAACGGTAATGATCCTTCCAGTTGGATACGCCACCTTAGGCTACCTCCCGCTCGTCGTGGTGGACCACGACGACGAGCAGTGCATCAGCATCCATATCCTTCTAGTCATCGTTTGACATGACGTCCACCATCCCTTTCCCTACCTCAGGCACACCCGGCACATCGGGAATCATGTCTGAGCTGCAACCAGCCGACCTGAAACATTCAGAGCTGTCTATGGTGACATGCAACCCCCTCACTTATCAAGTCTGCGACTTTGTATACGATAATTCTCCATCCACGAGCTTTCTGGATACGGCCGAGCTCTTCTATGAAACTCGCGCAGGTCAGTGGATATTCGATATCTTCCTTACTTTCGCTCACCTTTGTCTCCAGTGTAAGGATACCGTCACTTTCTTATTTACTGCAATACTGACGCTACCAAAAGTTATGAAAACCCCCTGATCACTGCCACGTCCCGCACCCTCATTGCAGATATTCACGCCCTCGTGCGCCAGTTTTCCATAGTCGACATTCCAAAGCCATCCAAAATATTCAGCGCCCTGCTTCCCCGAGTCTTCATCAAAGAATCCGTCAGCTCGGACCCTTGGTTTCGTGTTCTGCGTATCTGGTCAGAAATTGAAGAATTTAACGAGAGCGAGAGCTTCGGTCCGTCTCCTAGTCTCTACCTCCATAACAGCCTTCTCACCATCCTCACAGACGGCCACAAAAGAAGCATCGTCGAGCACACGCTCAACATCCTATTCTTCCCAGACTTGCATATGGGCTTCAAGATGCCCAAGTCGCTCTCCCTGCGCACGACCGAGTCTACGCCTGCAAGTGAAACTGTACACGAGCTCTCGCTAGTCACTCCCTCACTCCCAGTTCCCGGTACGCCTTTCGCAGTTCCATCGCCACTGCACCTCCAGCTTCACGTCATCACGTGCCTAAGCTTCAATGAACAGGGACGGATAACGTATCATCGTGACGTGTGGGACATGCGTGATGTGATAGGGCTCGTACCTGGCATGCATATCGCGCAGTGGATCTTAGGGCGGGCCGGTGCGTGGGGGCTGAGTTGGATAGCCAAGAGACTGAGGTCCCAGCCACATAGTACATCGTTGATCACGTCTGCTGAAACGATAGTTTAGTTGTTTTTTTTTGTTTCTCTATTGTCCTTCCTACGATATCTCATAGCGAGCATTACCGTTCGTGATGTATACTAGTATATATTTTCAACTGTAGCTCATCCTCGCCCTCAAACTGTATCACTGGGTTTTTGTCTCTATAGCCTTATACCTAATACCATGACTACCTTCCTGCATCAGATCAATATTTTACTTGCAGGGTTTGGGGTCTCGTACTTTAGATCTACCTTACATGTCGGACCAATGTTGGACAGCACTTCACTGTGGCTTTGATCCCCGTTGTCAAAATCTTGCTGATGTTAGGTCTTCGTAGCCCCTTGTACCTCATGCCACGACTACACCACCCTATCAAGTCAAGTCAATTGTTTGCTTGCCGAGGCTGGAGTCTAATACATCATAGATGTCAAACAGCACAGCTGCAGGTCATAGATGCAGACCGCCTACATCACTCGAACTTACATATTACAAGCGGGCAGTGTATCGCGCTTCATTCGACCCTTGAACCCAGTTTTTCCCCTATTCTAGCCTGTTTCCCCATATCTCTACTAATTAATTCATGCATGGTAGTGGTAGAATCGTCTATAAAGTTCTTTCATTCCATATGTATTGTAGCGCCACCTTCCACCACACAAATTGCGGTTGCTTAGTGCTTAGTTCCTGCCCTAATAGCCTATATATAATCAGTGCTCGTCATCGACTGCCAAAAGTTGCCAAGGATGGACCCACTAGTACACGGAACTGAAAACAGCTACCATTAAAAGTTACATGGCACGGTATACATTTGAACAGCGGTGTATCACCAGGTATCACTTGACAGATAAGTTACTAGGGTGACGCCTCCAGATTCATCTTGATCCCAAGAATTCTGGGATTTATCCATGTAAAGTAGTCTATGACTACCGAAGGCTCAACGTTGCAACGCATACGCCCATGTCGAACTCCATGTCATTGGAATGCGCATCACACGGCAGTTTTACAAAGTCAGCATCCGAGTCGCTTTTAGGGCCGAGCCGCAGTGAACGGAACCTGATATAACGTCACTCACATTTTGTGCGGGAGGACTACGCTTTCTATATGAGGCCTCATGCATTTCTCTAGACTTCTTGCTATGTAACCGGAAGGGGTGTATCAACAGAATGACTCTGAGTAGCATACCAAGACTACTTACCTTAGACTTCATCAAGTCAACAGTTTGCTTCCCGAGGCTGGGGCTTGACACTCTAGTACGTGCATGTCAAACATAGATACCGTGATAGGCCGCCGAGATTGTTTGAAGTTCAGTGGGGGTACGCCGCACTTCAATCAATCGATGGTTTCCCCTCATCTCAACTTGTTTTCCTATGATATGATCATTCATTCATGCACAGTGAAGATAGAAACCGACATTTATGGTTTATATTCTTCCGTTTCCTACTGCAGCGCTCCCCTAAGTCCCTCCACTGCTCAGGCTCCCAGCTCCATGGCCTATATATAAGCAGTACCCATCACGCAATCACTCCACTGTCAAAGGTTGCATGCCAAGACCTAAGTACAAGTGCACGAACACCCATAACTACATGGCACAGCAGATATGACATATATATAAATAGCGGTGCATCACCTGGTGTCACTTGATTGGTGTAGCCGCTACTAGGCGACACGTCCTGATTCATCCGTGTAGTCTACGACCACCGAACGCTCAACGCATACGCGTATGTCGAGCTCCATGTCATTGTTGATGTGCATACTACGCGGCGATGTTACGAAGTCGACATTGCTTTTGGAGAGGAAATCGGACATTATATTCTTTGCATTTTTTGCAGGACGTGCGAGGACTACAGTTTCCATATGCGGGGGGGCTTGTTGCATTTCTTTTTGTGCGATGTGAACGGAGGGGTAATAACGGAAGTAATGGAAATTGTGAACGTCAGCCGAAGAAGAGAACACTGGGGTGTTGCGCACCTCGTAAATGGATGAGAATTCGTTGACTCATGATCCACGTTACAGCATAACCTATTGATGCCCTGGTGGTGCACTCTGAGCACTCTGCATTTCGATACCGGATGATAAAGTGCTTACCCTGCCGACTAATCATAGAAGCGGACGGACATCACAGTAAGTTTCCACAGCATACGGAAATTAGATATAATTAATTACCTGAGTTTGGACATCAGACTCGCGATACAGTACTATGTTCAATACGTTCGATCCTGAAGGAACATTAGAAGAGTGATTAGTACAAACAGAAATTACTTGCCTGTCAGTACGACCAAATATCCAATGCCATCATACATCAGGCTGAGTAAAATGAGCGACGCCATGTCATTGAGGAGTGAGGGACTTACACCCGTACTATTCGCTCTAACCTAACAATGGTTCAACAAATCAGAAGGTATAGAAGAGAGAATATATATACCTGTTGCTGAGAACATCATATTGCAGAAGATGCACAGTGGAAATGGTCAAAATCACTAGATCGTACATCATCGCAGTGACGTAGTAAAGCCAGGCGGACAATGTTTTGCCAGCATTTCCTGGGGTACAGCTACGGTTGATAAGGATTTGAACAACCCACACTGGTAGTAAAGGCACCGCTTACTTTCCCTAAAAACAAGACGCCTGTTCGCGTTAGATCTTTTCACGAGGAACGCTGACGTACAGGCTCATCAGTGACAGCTATTAGCTCAAACAACGGTCAATGCAAACCGAGATCAAAATATAGGTCAGAACTTACGGATCCGGTCAAACATATTGGTGAACCACTCCAGCTAAAACGGGTGAGTGACAGATGTTAGGCTTGCGCGTTAAGAACACACCGTAACTGCAGTGAGGAATAGCAGCGCTAGAGCAATTCCTACCCGCCTATTTCTCCTTGCAATATTCCATGTCCTGGACGGTGTAAAATTCTGTACAGCTAGCGACACAAAAATTCGACAGCACATACCTGAAACCGATGATGACCTGCGATACCATCGTTTGTAAAACTACGACGTGATCAATAGAGTCCTGGCGTGTGAACACCGGCAGGACAGACCTTTGAAGATAGGCGCCAAAATGTAGTAACGTCGACAGATTTCTGGGGTGATGTCGGTGGCGAAGTATCCATAATTGCTGAGTAGCATGACTACGATACTAACATAGCTGCATCATCAACGTGAGCAAAAATCTATTCATGATGGGATGAGAACAAAATATACCGTATGAGGATGAATAAGATACAGGCAATACTGATCAAGAACGTATTTGTCAGTTGTGGAACGTGGATGGTTATGTGTACGTACCTGAGGTGAAAAATTGAGGATTGACTTCTGTAAAACCGCCATTCTGCGGGGAGCGTTATCACATAACTGAAGGTAGATATCGTTCGGAAAAAGTAGAACGCAGTGACCATTACTATGGGCCCATCACTCGATAAAAGAAGGACTCACTCGTACAATGCAATGGAAATGGACGCAATTCGCAAATACTTATCCGAAGCTTGGCTGTTTACAAGCGGATCCATTTAAAATATGAGAAAATGCGAAATCAAGCTCGTAGCGTTCGCGGTGATTATGTATGGCGGTAGCTCTGCGGAAGTTGACAGCGGCAAGGTGATGAAGTATTGAGGAGGTCAATATAGTTTGGAATCGAAACGGTTAATGACGGACTGGAAAAGGCAAACCAATGGCCCCGGGCGCACTGGATACTTCACTTGGATCGCAGGGAAGGGAGGTAAACTTATGAATAGAAAATCCACATACTATTAGTATTAGTCGCGCCATGCTTTTCTAGGTACCAAAACTGCTGATTAGTAAAGGCCTTGGAGCAGGCAATATTAGAACGGGGGAAAGCATGGACAGGTTCAACGATGGGACTCATCGGAGTCAATAAAACTTTCTTGCAAGCAATGATGAAGTTCAAGTGGCAGTGCTAAAAGCAACCCACAGCTTATTATATAAGCAGGTGTCGGTGTGGCGATCACACCTTACATGTGAACTATTGCGGTTGACCATGCCCGTGACATCTCACAACTTCTTGCTTTCGACAACCTGGCTGCGTCACCCCCCACCATGTCGAGATTGCATACGCGCCAAGCTACCATGGCCACAGCGTCAAGGGGAACAAATGTGCATATACACAGCCAGGCGCTACGTTTCCGTTCCCATCATATATGTGAACGTGCTTCGAGGGAAACGGGGAAATGTTGTCGATGTCAAGGAATGAACGGAGATTTGGTCACCCACATCGGATGTTCGCAAACAAATTTGCACTACTGCTTAAACCCGCAAGCATATTATTCACCGACACCCACGAGGTGCGGCCTCTCTTGCACTCCTCATTTGAACCTAACAAACCCACGACTGGTCAATGCATGGAACTATGTCAAAACATGGGAACACACGGCCATCTACCATTCGAACACCAGTGCATTCATCAACTCGCGACCAGCGAGACCATCATCGTATATGTAAAGGATAGAGACACTGGAACTTTTATCTTTTCTCATGAAAATTCACGAGTGAGAAAACGCCTAATAGTACACGCTAAAATCCTTCACCTCCTCGGCCGACCTCACGGTTTTGTCACAGTCCTGCGAATTTGGTCTGAAGTTGAAGAATCCAGAGATAACAGTGCGGGGCGTTTCGTGCTCAAGCCACGGGCCTACACTTGAAAATACCCGAGTCGCTCTCTGAACCTGCTCACCTTGCAACCTGTCCCCGGCGCACCATCCGTAGTCACCTTGGCGCTGCACCCGCATGCGCCGAGTGGTAGATCTTTCTCACATGCGCGGAGCCTCTACTTCCATCGGGAAGAATGCAGTATTACTCCATACGCTCACATTAAACTCGTGATCAGTCTGGCCTGCGGCCGGGATCCCCGCCACTCGACTCGTTCATTGTACTATGCCAGGCCGATCGCGAGTCATACGAAGTGGGACATGCGCGATGTTGTGGCGCTCATTACCTGGCATGCGCATCCCACAGTGGACCTTGTGGTGAGCGGCATATGGAGTAGCTGCCAGTGGGGAGAGACTTGGGGGTTCGGGGCGCCGTAGTATACTTATGGGGCCCGTACATTACTCAATGCTGTGTAGAGTTTCCCCCCCTTCCCACTAACTTCCTACGAGTCTCGTAGTGATTGCTGTCGTTCGTGATAACCCTCTGCATACTCTTACAGACTGCACGCAGCCCTAAGTTGAAAGTTACGAAGACAGTGGAGTGGGACCCTATGTAAGGGGCGAAGTAGCACCCGCAGCTTAGTCAGCAACTCACTATTGCCTTGCTTGCGACATGCAGGCACACGGTCGCGGATACACCGTTCCAACAGTACCCTGGTAACAATATTAATGCAGATAGTACATATACGGCGACATAACCCAAAAGTAACACATTAGCTAGCCCCTTGACCGTAACTCCATCGCTGAAACCGCTTTGTATCTTATATGCAACCTGCGCAAACAAAGCACTTCTGACAATACTAGTAGCACCGAACACGGACTTGATAAGCGCTTGTGCCTCCAGACTCATTTGACCGTCGGCTTATCCCACGAATTCGAATCGTCATAGCCATAGTCTACTTTCACCGAGCGCTCGCCGCATACACGTATGGCAAGTTCCACGTCTTCGGGATGCCCATTGCGAGATGATGTGGGCGGGAACTCTGGACCAGTGGGGCTTTTAGAGTTTTTAGAGTGGCCTTTAGATTCGAACTGTGAGCGGAGACCGGACATCACGTTCTTCCGCGAACTGCTATGTATGGTGGGACGTGCGAGAACCACGTTTTCGAGGCGTCGAGGGTCTGGCTCTGACATTTCTTCGCAAGCGTTAGCGGAAGAGCAGTCAAGCTCTGGAGTGGTGCGCACCTCGTATATGTATGAGGATCCGCTGGCTCATAATCCATGTTACAGCATAACCCAGTGACGCCCTAATGAAGCAGTCTGAGCTGAATTTCCTTGACGCCAGACAATGCGAAACTTACCCCGCCGACTGATAATAGGAGCGAGGCAACATAATTGGGATCAACTTCCATAGCGGATCGAAAAAAGCCTGCGTACCTGAGCCTCGGAATCGTTCGTATGATAAAGAATGAGGTTCAATAGGTTCGTCGCTGGAGAAATTTTAGGAGGGTGATTGTCACAGGCAGAGCAGACTTGCCTGACAGCACGATAAAATATCCAATACCGTCATATATCAGGCTAAGAATGATGAGCGACGCGCATCGATTCTACCGATGACGAGAGGCTTACACTCGTACCAATCGACTTACTCTAACGACAACCACGATTTAGCGAACCTAAAGCAAAAGGGGAGAAAAGGCGCACCTGCTGCTGAGAGGATTATAACGCAGAAGATGTATGGTAGAAATTGTCAACATCACGAGGTCATACAACATCACGACGAGGTAGTAGAGCCAGGCAGACATTTCCTTGCCAGAATTTACCGGGGTGCAGCTATGATTCATGAGAATCTGGACAGCCCACGCTGGTGGTAAAGGAACCACTTACTTTCCCTAGAAAAGGTACAACGTTTGTGAGGTCTCATTGTGAGGAACACTGACGTACTTCAACAACGACAGCTGTTAGTTCTGAAGGTCAATGCGAACCGATAATCAAAATATAGGCCAGAGCTTACGGATCCGGTGATATAGATTGGTGAACCATTCCACCTTGAACATATAAGAGAGATGATAATATACCGGTAACAAGAACCTACCGAAACGGTGATGAGGTATAGCAGCAGCAGTGCAACTCCTAGCCTCCTGTCTCTCCCTGCGATATTAAATGTCCTATGGGATGTTTAAGTCTGTGCACCCGCCAAAAAGTAGGATATACCTAACACCCAGGATAACCTGTGATATCATAGATTGCATAACTACAACATGGTCAATATAGTCCTAGTGGGTGAGTATCGATAGGACAAACCTTTGAAGGCAGGCGCCGCGAGATAGTAATGTCGACACGTTTGTTGGGTAAAGCCGGTGGCGAAGTATCCATAATTACTGAGTATCATGACTAGGACACTGAAATAGCTGCATTAAATGTAAGCAAAGGAGAATTACATGCCAGAATGTGGACGGAACATACCGTATGAGAATAAACAGGACGCAGGGAAGGCTGATAGAAATTTGTCAACGACGATAGGTGAATATCGGATATCCGTGTATCTATAAGTACCTGATACGGAAAATTGACGGTTGACTTCGGTAAAACCGCCATTCTGCGGGAAGCGTGATAAGATAACTGAACATAGATGTTGTTCAGAACACAGTGATCATTGTAGGACTCCAACTCAACAGAAGAGACGATACTTACTCGTAAAACGCGATGGATATGGATGCTATTCGAAAACAGTTCTCTGAGGTTGTGCTATCCAAAGCCAAATTCCGATCCATTTAATAGATGAAAGGCGCGTTGTTTCTGGTATAGCAGGAGTCTGTCAGGTAGTTCTGCCGTTCTAGCCTTGATAGATAGAGGGGGGGAGGAGGGTATGTAGCTCAGAGCTGTGTTTAAGCAAGCTGCTGATAATGATGCAAGGCTTCTTCTGCACGTTATGACCCGGACGCTTCGATTTCGGCGGAGAAAGGGAGCAACACTGAGGAAGAAAAGGCATCGCAGCTTTTGTATCATCTACACTTTGAAATTGCTCTGAGAGTGCTCCGAGCCGCGTAGGTAAATAGAAAGTGGAGTCAAAACATCCAGAATCCAAAAGTCGTCCCTAGATCGGAAATATTCGGTAAACGTTCGTGAAAGCTGGCCAGTGGCAAGGTCCTCGCAATAATAATGATCATTTGTATGTGCCTGGCCATGTTCAATGAACAAGTTCAAGTCAAGGCACCTGGACGATTTTTGCTGATGTAAGGACTTTGACGCTGTGGGCATTGGGCAACAACCTCAGCGTGCATCATTGATTCATATTACAGTCACTCCAAAGTCACTCATTAATATTCTTCCCGTCAAGCATTAGTAGTCTCGCGGCTCGTACACTTTAAAGGCACGGTCTTAATATCTGCAAGGAACGCATGCTGTCAGATATATATGCAATCCTGCCACACATTAGCCCAGAACGTCAAAAACCCTCGAATCAACGAACAAGGAGATCGTATCCATAATCTGACACGTATACGAGGATTTCAAATATTCGTGCGACCGTACCCCCCAACAAAGTTGGATCTCACGAATATTTGGTCCAAAGTCTGAGGGAGAGCGGGGATTCGGTGCGTCCTGTTGCTTCTTCCTGCCTATGATACTACTACTTATTCAACATTCTTACAGCCCTCAAAGAACCCATAAATATCGTCTTGGCTGCGCAGACTCGCACATATGTCATAGTCTATTTCAGCCCTGACTCGGAGTTCCGTCGACGAATATTCATTGCTGCGGCCGCGTGTGCGAATAGTGGGGTTTCAGCTGGATGCTGGGTATTATTTTCTTGGGCCACTGAGTCGCTGACCAACCACAGGGTGAGCGGAAAGTTTTGAAATCGAAGCGTTGTGTTTCTTTTTCCAAATTCTGGCGATAGCTTCCCCAGCTAGGTCATCGGTGTTGATATTCGTATTCCCGTGTAACCATACGCACACTCAAAGTTAAAGCCTCGGATTTTCTATTAATTCATCACCATACCGGTCAGATCTTGTCGCTTCCCAGAGTCGACATCATTACAGTCTAAAACGGGCACTTGAACCACCACCGTCACTCGAACCAACCACTCGCAACATTCAAACTATGGTCCAGATAGATTCTGAAGATAATGATTTGTTGTACGATGTCAGGCTTCAGAAGTTCAAGTGTCCGTTTAAAACTGGACCTTCTTTTCTGTGTCGCTATCTGTTTTCCCCCGTGCTTCCGTGATTTTCCTTAGGCTAACTTTGGGTGCTAGGCTTGCAAAAAACAGACATCTGCCGACATTTACAATGCCTATTCGAGCCTTTGCTCAGGGCTGAGACTCCTACCCTGTACTGGATCGACATTCCCAGCAAGATGTATTACGAGGGATCGACACCACGTGGCGGTCTAACTTCTTAATATTCGAACCCTACTTTCGAAGGAGCGGCGACTATCGACGACGAGCGTCTCTGCATACGATCCGTCAAGCGCGGACGTACGTTGCGGGCGAACTCTTCGTTCATTCGGACGTGCGACGCAAATACCACTGACGTGGCACACAAAGCTCGGTCTTGCAGGCATGCACCTTTTTGCTGAACTCACCCTCTGCAGGACGTTGCGATCGCACCATTCATGCCCGATGCTAAGCAATTCCGTTACGTATTTTATCTTTCAGTAGCGCTTCGGTTGGCTTCGATGCAACTTTTACGCTCGGACTCTTGTATGCATTTCCTTGGAGCGCAAGCATTGGCATCTAGTCATCGTATACACGTTGTGGGGATCGTGTATGGTACTGTGTTTGACGAGCGGAGTCCCACTATTCTTCACACAAGGGATAGATTGGAGGAAAGGACATGCGAAGGTGCAATAAACTAGCATTCTTTACGCCAACAAGGTGGGAGTCGGGCAATTTTTCATCTACTTCTGTAACGAGTATTGACAACTCAGTACCTATCTGCGACGACTCAGGAGGCCTTCAGTTTATATTCCTCCGGAACTAGCGAACTCGTCGGATGGAACGCATCACTTTATTACTTCCACAAGCCGTTGTTTAAATGATGTCCCGACCTTTGCGGATATATTATCCTGCAGATGAAATTAAAACATGTCTCTACAGTCCGCCCTTCGGACACATATCATGTATATATTGCCTAAAATGATATCATAGCACTGCAGCTGCATCGCGCCCAGATTCATTGCACCATCGGGGCACCCCATGAACTAGAAACCCCACATTCATCCGTGTGGTCCAATGTCACCGTGGGCTTGACACATGTACAGATGTCGAGTTCCATGTCATCGGTGTGCGCATCGTTGAGTCCAGATTCAGGATCAGTGTGGCTTTTAGCGGTGAGCGGAGAACGGATGGCGGATGCTGCGTCCCGAGCGTTTTGTGGGGAACGCATCGCGGCTATGTTTTCTAAACGTCGGGTTTCTGTTTCTGAAAGCTCTGTGGGAGCGGAGGAGCGATGGAACGAGTGAAGTTGAGCGTGAGAGAAGTGATACTGTGAAGTGTGCGCACCTCGTAGATGGATGAGGATCCGTTGGCTCATAATCCATATTACAGCAAAACCTATTGATGCCCTAGTGATGCCCTTTGAGCAACTCTATGATGGATGCTGCAAAACTTACCCTGCCGCCTAATAGGGTGGAATAAACATGAGCGTACGAAGCTTCTATGGACCATTGTATAGAAACCATACCTGGGTCTGAATATCGGATGTATGATAAAGGATGATATTGAGTATGTTCGATCCTGATGAAATGCTATTCAGTGGTGTTTATCAAGCACAAGTGGAGCGTACCGACCTGTCAGCACGACAAAATATCCAATGCCGTCATAGATCAGGCTGAGCACGATGAGCAACTCTCCATTACTGTGAGAGTATCGAGGGACTTACACCCGTACCAGCCGCTCCAATCTAGCAATAGGTCAGCGACTCTAATCACCGAGGGAGAGGATAGGTGCACCTGCTGTTGAGGGGATTGTACCGCAGAAGATATACGGTGGAGATGGTTAACACTGCGAGGTCATACGACATCGCAACGGTGTAGAAGAACCATGCCGATAGTATTCTACCAGAATTTCCTGGTGTGCAGCTATGGTGCATGAGATTTTGAACAACATATTGGTACAGGGACCGCTTACTTTCCCTAAAAACTACGCTGTTTGTGTGAGTCTTGTTATGAGGAACATCGACGTACATGAACGACGACAGCTGTTGTTCCAATGTCAACATGAACTCGAGATAAAAGCACAGGCTAGAGCTCACGTATGCGATTAAACATATTGGTGAACCACTCCAGCTAAACCGGGTCAGAGATGTTACACTAGTGTCGTAACGACTCACTGCAACTGAGACAAAGTATAGCACGACCAGTGCAATTCCTATCTGCCTATCCCTCCTTGCAATATTGAATGTCCTGGATAACGTAAAATTCTGTACAGCCGGTTGTCCATAAGATATACCTGACACCTAGGATGACTTGTGATATCATAGTCTGTATAACTACAGCACAGTGAACAAAGTTCTGGTGGGCGAAGATCGATAAGACCGACCTTTAAAACAAGGTGCAATCATATAGTAATTTTTACACGTTTCTTGAGTGAAACCGGTGGAGAAGACACCGTAATTACTGATTGTCATGACTATGATACTACCATAGCTTGATAAAATTCAACAAAAAAGCTGCATGATGGGATGAGGACAGACATACCGTATGAGGACGAATAATATGCAGGCAAGGCTGATGGTTTGTGTTTGTCAGTGGGGGTACGCGAATGGCTGTGTGTACACACCGGAGATGAGATAATGAGGATTGGCTTCGGTAAAACCGCCATTCTGCGGGGAGGGTGATGATATAACTGAAGAAAATCAGTCATGACAGTGATCACGGTACCGCCTGAAAAAAGGCCTTACTCGTATAATGCAATGGAGATTGATGCTATACGGAGATACTTCTCCGTTGCTTGGTTGTCTACTATGACACTGAGCTCTTTCATCTGTGAAATGAACACAAAAAATTCAGATCACTGAGGTTAGTTGGTATGGACGTGAGGATATATCGTTGCGTAAGTTAGGCAGCGGTCACTGATTCGAGGGGCAACGTAGAGCAAAAAATGAAAAGTAAGAATGATTGTGTGAGCGAGATGGCCGGACGGTTCGCGTTGAAGTGGTTTATGGGTGAAAAGAAAAGGAAGATTATAAAGAGGAATGGAGAAGCATTGCGATTTGAATAAGGGAAGAAACGAGGAAAGACTCGAGTATAATATAGGGAATGGAAAATTGAGCGACATATTAGGCGATCTTGTTCCTGGGTTGGAACCAAGGCAATGGAATGTCCAAGGTCGGTTACCTACAGTCTATTGCCAGGGAAAACGTTAAATCAGCTTAAAGGAACTTGAAGCGCGATCGCGGCTACTACTGTAACGGAGTTTCAATATGACTTGCCGCCCTGGCTCATATATCATACAATGAATTTACTCTGTCTCCAAGTCCTGTCTCATACATACTGCAGGCCATAGTGTCGCGCTATAAGGAAATTCATAGCAAAACGCAGTACTCGGCATGATTCAAGAGTCTAGAGGCTCTTCGAGAGCATACCTAGTACCTACGTCACGGTCTAGACGCTGAGCACATACTCACCTTAGTCATCGGCACTGACACACACTTGCGCAATGCGCGTGAAACCTTTTTTTTATGCATTTCCATTGGAATTTGGGAGATGTAGCACCGCATATAACAGTCATGCGCCCATCACTGTCTTCATTTCCAAGACCCGTCCAGGATTCGAGTCACCGTGCTCGAGGTAATGAAATAGGGGCACGTGGTTGTTTATTCACCTTGGCCAGTGAGCTTCGCTGTGGGGAACAATCAGCCGGCCACCATAATCGGAGCCTTTCTAGTAAAGCTTCCGACGTTGCAATTTACAATAGGCTGCGATGGAAGTCCATCTAGAGCACTGGGTTGGATATCGACCCATCCGACCTCATCTGATCTATCATGAATCAGTGATTGACTACGAGAGTGAACTGAATCGTAGATGCGCTCACAAATACCCATCTTTTTAAAAGTAACGCTTTTCTCGAGACCCTCAAGCGAGTCCACGGTGACATGCCCACCTTGGCCCATACCGTACCGGAAGCATACTCATATCTCGCACTTGGTCCAAAACATACTTATCACAGCGAGGCGCGCACATAGATCCAACTGCATTGCAATTTCGGTACAAAACACACCCCTACTATCCCGAGCTGTGAGAAAGAGGACAGAGGACGATGGAATAAGCACTTTCCAATTGTCTTCTTTAGCTTGTCTATCCAGATCTCTGGTATTCCTTGGCAACTTCTTCAAGGTCCAGCATAACGCCAATAGTACTTTTCGTGGAGCCCGCGGGTAAAGATGCCACGTAGGAACAATTATGCTTTGCAACTGCAAGCAAGGTCGACCCTAAGTTGCGAAGCAAGATACAAGAAAGGCGCGACATCAAACTCCCTCTATCGATCTATCGGGTCTTGTCTTCAAGTCATCTCGGGAAAGATCAGCCCAACTTTGAGGTTCATCGACATCCACGGACCACGGGTAGGCAAACGACCAATCACATGCTCACCAAATGCCGACTTGTTAATAATGTGTCTTACAACTTTCTTCGCAGAGCGACTCGAAGGAGGCAATACGACAGTCTTTCCAGTCCTTCTTCACACGAAAACACCAAAAACAGCATGAATAAATTACATATCCAACCCCCCACTCAAGCACCACTCCGACCTGCAGCTTTGATGACGGTACCATTAGCCAACTGGGGCAACGTCTTGTTTGGTGCTGGCGAAGATGGTGCTGGCAAGAAACCCGCTCCGACTAACCACGCAAGGTATCTTCCCATCAGCTGTTCCGAAACCGTGAACGTGCATTGCTGCCCTTGCGAGCGCAGCAGCGTCATAGTGTTAGTGGCGTCAAGCTCGGGGGCTTTGGTGCTCGTCGGTAGGTCATCAAGGACGAAATGGAGGAGCGGGAAAAGCGCGTTATCTTGGACCTCCATGACGTGCTGCTCTAGCTTGCGACGCCATACGAGATACTCGCATTGTTGTGTGGGGAACCCGTACTCAGTTAACGACGAGAGGATATTGTTGAAGGTTGGAGGGGGCACTGCAGTAATGTGCAGCACGCTTTGCGCAGCGTTTGGTAGGGGCTCCACTGCAGCGAGAGCAGTGCAACGAGCAACATGATCCACAGGCACCATGTTCACAGTGTTGTTGATATCTGGGACGAAGCCGAGCTGGACGCATCCCTTGAACATGCGCCAAATAAAGTCGTCGGTGTTGGTCACTGAGCCTCACAGTCAATATATCAACATCCCACAGAAGGAGCTTCCATACCTGCAGTATGCGAGTCGCCAACAATATAGCCGGGCCGAACGATATGGCCCCGCAAGCCTCTCTTACCAGCTTCAAAGAGCAACTTCTCCGACACCCATTTGCTCTGACCATAGCCGGACTTGAGACCTACTCTTGCACCGTCCAAGTCATCATCTTCCGGAATACCTCTCCGCGAATCTTGAGACTGTCCCAGAGAGTCAGACAATCGCACATAGTGCTCTGTGTCGATCGCCGACGTCGATGAAACGAAAACAAGCAGCTTCTGCTTTGTCGTCGAGGCGAGTTCTACAGCAGTCAAGGTACCGATCACGTTCGGTGCACGAAGTCTCTCGTATGGGTATACCCAATGCACCTGCGTAGCACATTGTTAAATATCACCGTATGCATGTGAAAGGGTAGAACAGCTCACCAGAGCACCATTGTGCAAGACGACGTCCGCCTCAGCAGCGACTCGTGACCAGACTTCATCGCCCATACCGAACAAATCAAGGCCAAGGTCTCCAATCACCACCTCGAGTCTACCAGAGGTGAACCACTGCTCATCCCAAACGCCCCGATCACCAGACCCTTCTCTAAGGCGCGCCACACCTTGTTCGACGCTGGGCGCACGTATGAGACAGATGACCTTCCTAACCCTATCAAGGCGCTGCAAGAGATCACGTAACACAAAAGCCCCGAGATACCCAGTAGAACCCGTCAAGAACACAGTAACAGCACCCGACTTGAAGTCCTCAGACATTGGCGGGTACGAGGGTCGCAAGCCTTGAACGAGCGTCTCGTAGTCCTGTCCGTACTGAATAGCAGAACTCAGTTTCGCAGACGCCTTGACAGGCGTCGCAGGGCGCGTCTCAGCGTCCCCGTAAGCGATACCAAAGTCTGGGTCACGAAGCGCATCTAGCGCCGAAGCGAGGCCCGTGATAGTCGGCTGGTCGAAGATAAGGCCAAGTGGAGCTTCGACAACGAAGATTTTGCGGATCTCGAAAATGAGACGCGTGGCAAGGATGGAGTGGCCACCCAGATCGAAAAAGCTTTCGTCGAGGGGGATAGGCGTGGGTGCGTTCGGGAGAATACTGGCCCAGATGGTGCGCATGGTTTGTTCGGTGGGGCTCGCTGTGCGGCCGTTAACAGTCTTTTTGGGCTCGGAGTGCACAGCGTGGGCTTGTGCCGTGTCGGGGAAGGGAAGTGCAGGTTTGTCTATTTTACCGTTAGGGTTGAGGGGCATACGATGCAGCGGAACAAACACTGTAGAAGGAGAGTTAAGTAAAGGAGGTAGATCAAAGTAATGATCAATCTTACATGTTGGTATGCTGTAACTGGGCAGTTTCTTTTTGAGGTGCTCCCTAATATCCTTGATGAGCCGTCTATACTTTGGACTCTTACCATCAACATTCTCGTCCTCCTCCTCCTCCGTAAGCTCGCTGGCAAATCCATCCAGCTTCGAGCCCTGCAGGGGCACGAAGTAACTGACGAGAATTTTCTCCTCATCTTTGTCTCTCCGTACGAGTGTGACGTTTTCCCGCACAAGCGGGTGCTGGCTCATCAACGTATCGATCTCCCCAAGCTCGATCCTGAAACCACGGATCTTGACCTGATCATCTGCACGCCCTGTGCACTCAACGCGCCCATCAGGGAGATACCGACCAAGATCGCCCGAACGATACATCCGGTCGCGGATGCCCTTCCAATGACGTGACTCGGGCCCAGCAAGGCCCTGGGGCGGATGCAAAATCGTGTCCCTCCAGGGTAAAGCGGCAGGAGAGAACCAATTGCTGACGAACTTCTCTGCGGTGGCTTCGGTATCGAGGTATCCCTCTGCCAAGCCTCCAGATCGCACATAAATCTCTCCAACCTCTCCCACTGCGCAGGGGACATTTCTGTCGCTACGGTTGACGACAAGGAGCTGTACGTCAATCATGCCCTCTCCAGCTGGCATGATGTCCTTCTGTGTAGCGAGGAAAGTCGCGTCCTCGGATAAGGGTGGAATCGCAAAGTAAGATACAGCGCGCTGGGTCTCTGTTGTGCCGTACATGTTGATGATCTGCACATTTGTGCCGAGGGCTTGGAGGCGGAGGCAATCGCGCTTTGTTAAGACGTCACCGACGAAGAATGCGTTTCGTAGGGATGGGATCTGACGCGTCGCTTGTGCGGAGAGTAACTGACCCATGGCGGGGGTTAGGTGCGTGACAGTAACTTTGCTGTCATCCATCCATTCTGCGAGACGGCCGGGTGTGCCGATGTCTTCTGCGGTGGGTACATGAAGCTCTGCACCCAAGAAGAGGGGCGTGAAAACTGTAACGTTATCCCCATCAACGAATGTGTATCTGCCCGAGAATATAACACGTACTGTCACGTTGGATGGGATCATGAGCGATCCCGCTCAGCATTGTGAACTTGGATGTTTCACTGAGTAGGAAGCGGTTGCCCATCCAAGGGAAGAAATGCGTAAGACTGTAATGGCGTCCTCGAACGCCCTTGGGGATGCCAGTGCTTCCACTGGTGAAGGACAGCGTGCCAATGCTGTCGGGACCTAGAATGACATTGGGATCCGTTTCTGCGAGACGGATCTGGGCCTTCAAAACATCGATTCCGTCGTTTGCACCTCCGAGTATTTGGCCAGTAGAAGAGAATTCAAGCGCGGGTACTTCCACACGGATTTTGAGTTCCGTGGATAGGAATTCGCGCACAGAAGGTGCAATTTGGCCAGCACCTGAAAGTACAACAAGGCCGCGAGGTTGAGCTACCCGGAGGTATATTATCTGCCGTGAAGGCGGGTATGCAGGATCTGACTCAAGTCAAAAATGAACTGAAAGAAACATAAAAGATCGTACCTATAACCGAGAACGTCGCACCGCTTTTAAGAACAGCCATAACAGCTACGACCAGCTCGACACTACGATGTGCGTAAATCATAACAACTTCTTCCCTCTTCACACCACCTGCTAGGAGGTGGTGCGCTAGGATGTTGGAGGCTCTTCGAATGTCTCCGTAAGTGAATGTTCGCCTTGTCTGCGGCTCGCTAGGAATCGAGGCAGGTACACTTTGAATGATACACGACCTATCAGGCCATTTCTGCGCATTACGGGAAAACACATCTGTGATGGCTCCCTTCCAGTCACACCAATGTAAATTCGCCGTTGGGTTGGGCAAGCGTTCGCGTTGGGCAGCCGTCAAGAGAGGAACAGAACCAACCGCTGCAGTCGGATTGGTAGATACCTTCCTTAAAAGCACAGAGAGCTGATCGACGATGAATGATATGCGTGCAGATGTGAACAGCAGGGAGTTAAACAGAATTCGAAGGGAAATGTGGGGAGCTAAGGAGGCACGTGTAGTAGTGGGAGGTCGTGTGACGAAGATGGTGAGATCGGAAGTTAAGCTAGTTGATCGGATAAAGTTATCTCGTGGCTGATCTGTTTCGTCGAAGAAACGGACACGGAAAAGAGGACGAGATGCTTCAACAGAGTCGTCTTTGTCCCTGTGTAAAGACCGTACGATCGTCTCATAGGGTAGCAGGTCTGCTTCGGCCTCGCGTTCGACGTGCTGAACACGGCGCACGATAGTCCAGAATGAATCTGATGGCTCCACGGAAAGACGAAGAATCAAAGGATAGCTTGCAGCGGCAGAAGAGGAGCCAATCACGAAGTCTGTATCAGCAGTGTACCTGTGTAGGAGGACGAGAAAAGCAGAGAGGAGTAGATGGAAAGCCGATGGTCTAGTTTCAGAAGTTTTATTCTCGTCCTCTCCGCCATCTTCGCTCTCAGCATGAAGAGCAAGCTTCAAAAGACTGAGTGAGGTCTGCTCTGAAAGATCTGCCAGATGAGCGGCTTCGATGAGTTTATTAGCACCAGTCGATCGCGGATAATCTGTGGGTAGAGACATCACAGGTAGATTTTGCAACCTCGCAAGCACTCTGGAGAGTGCATCTGAGGCCATTTTGACAGTCGAGGATAGAAAATTGTGAAAGCAATTGGAAGAACAAAAATATACTACATAAAACTTGTGACTCGTTGTGTACAAGCTATCAAATTACGGCCGAAAGTCATTGTACTTCCCACAGTGAATATATAGTAACTCGTAAGCTTTCACATTTCAACTGCAACATCTTGGGAAGAGCCCCATCATCCACACTCACAGGATTATGGGCAGCAGCCATCAGCGCATCCTCAAAGCACCTAGGGCAAGGTCGGCAGCGCAGATTTGGTCCCTTCCCGAAGACCCGAACTTCCTTCACGTTGAAGTTCCGGATTCTTCTGAAACTATCATCGTGGTGGATAGGACCTTGACTCTTCCTAGGTCAAGTGTGGAAAAGCCAATTCGACCCCTTTCTGAAGACCATGAAAATTTCGAGTTGCAACTTGAAGTCTCAGATTCTTCTAAAACCATAACTACACCGATAGCCATAGGGATATTCTCGCTTCCAACAGAGTTAATATGTCATATTCTTCTCCTCCTTCATTTCAAAGACCTTTCATGCTGTGTATTAGTCCGTTCTTTCACGTGGTTCTATGATTCCTATGGGCTGACTTTTGGATTACGCTAGGTCTGCAAAGCTTTCTGGCATGTGGCCCAGAATTTCGTCGACGTTCAATTCCTATTGGAGCTTTATACCCAGGGCTTCACGGAGACTCCTACCCTGGACTGGGTCGACGTTTCTAGCAAGATGTGTTCACTCAAGAGATTGGCATCCATGTGGCAATCTGATTTCCATTTGAACTCCGTTTCTGAACAAACAGTGGCTATTGGGAATATTCTCAGCCCGTATCTTGCTGGCTTTCAATCCGTGAAGTGTGGGATTTGGTGGATGTGGGTTAACAGTAGACTCTTCATTCGGGAGTGTGACACAAACTTCAAATCAACCCAGACGTGGCCGGAGCAGAGCTTCGCCTTGCCGGTACACAGGCACTTCCTCATGAGCTCAGTTGTCATTGACCCTCTTCAGGACCTTGCGGTCATAGTGTCGTACGGCGTCTTGGATATGCCAGATCGTCACGTCTTTTCGATGGCATTTCGGTTGGCTTCATCGCAACGTCCGCACCCAAATTCTGCATGCACTTCTTTGGAGTGCATGCATCCTTGTAAAATGGTCCCTGAGCATTATTTTTACTTTGTGGATCAGCCAGCGATATGTGGGGATCGTGTAGTGGCACTCTATTACCACTACACGAGCCACGGGTCAGCGTCGAACATCTTCATACAAGTGATAGATTGGAGGAAAGGACATGCGAAGGGTGTAAGTTCACTCTGTTCTTGAAACTCTGTCACTAAGCGCGAGCAGTATCCCCTATACGAACTGGGTGGGACTAAGGCGAGTTTCCATCTACTTGACGAACAGAGGATCATTGTCATCGGCCCGGAAGGCCGTATGGCCTTGTACACATTAGAACTCGATGGTTCGCCTCAGCGCCGAATTACGTATGTCCTTCCGAATGTGCAACGAAGCCTTGACTTCTATCTTCCTTTGGGACCACTGCTACCGCTCTATGTTATTCATGCAACCCCATCGTTTCACGGGAAAGCGGTTCACCCAGACCTTATACCTGACTACGTGACATCTCTGGAGTCGCAAATCATGGTTTTGGAGGTCCTGTCGTGCTCATGGCAGGTGATTCTAGTCGTCGATATGGCCATTTTTGCAACCAAGGCCACACAGTCAGAGATACCTGTCGAGATTCCTTGGTCAGAGTGGGGCCCCAAGTACACACGCTACTTTCCGCATCATCCAAGCCACCGAATCAGCGTGTTCGGCAGTAAAATGGCATATGCTCTGCCTCAGGATCGTGCTCCTGAACCTGGACAAAGACTGGAAGAACTCCGTGCAGAGGGTTCCTTCTATGTTCACATCTGGGACTTTAATAGAGCCATTTCTCGCTTGGAACATTCGAACAATGTCTACGATTGCGATTCACCAGGTCGTCTCATCCGCAGGCCTGGTCGGTTGGCTCAGACGTGCTTCACAAAAGTCGATGCAAACATTATCACGAATCATCCTTACACTACTGCCGTCTGCCCTACGGGTTTCTCGACGCGTCACTTTGACCGGTTTTTTTTGGAGCAGGATCGACTTACTTTGATATGGGTAAGCATTCTTGGTATGAATACAGGGAATTTTTGACGTGATTGAATTATAGGCTCACCCTGGCTCGGTCCAAATTCAGGTCGTTTCTCCCTCACCGATAATGCCAACTTCCGAAGTTGGCTTGGACGTTGAACAAGGCCAAATAGCTCACAACCCAGAGCTGCAGCAGACAAAGGAAATGCAGTCTCGCCACAAGAGGAATATCTTATTCTACCTATTGAGCAAGTTGCGCAGACAGCCGAGATACCCCGAATCGGAATAGGTAGTTTTCCTGCTCTGAAACCTGTAGCCTCTCTTACCGGATTGGTGGTCATAGGTGGCAAGGCTTGTAGAATCACCGAATGACGGGCGTCATTGATAGATTCAAGGCTCCATCAATTCCTCCAAGCGAGTAGACGAAGATGGCCATTGTTGTCAACCAAATTGTCAAATATAGAGTATACCCCCAATCTCTGCATATTCTTATAATGCGTACTGATTCCACGTACCTACCCTCGTTTTGCCTCTTTCCCCTGGTCTCTTACATAGACTCAGATGATTCGCTACCCTCGTTCAAATTTCCGCTCAGTCCCTTCCACGCGATACCACACTCGTTATGTGTCCTCTCAAGGGTATTCATTTTTCAGATTCAAAACCGTCTTCTGCGCGGCCTCTAACAACTGATGGTTCTGAGCCTTATTCTATCTATGGTTAGCGAAGATTGATGTAAACGTTGAAAAGTACACTCAAGAACATTCGCCGGTAGGTATACGACCGCCTGCCAATACAGTCGAACGCCACTCCTACACCCTTGCGCCAGGCTTAGTGAAACAATGTACATCGATATATCCATCGTCCGGAGTTGGTAGAGGCGCTTCTCCCTTGTATTGAAAGTGGAGCGCCTTGTATACCGCAACCTGTAGTGCGATGAGCAAGTTTTCAGCAACCCCTTCAATCACGCACGTTGACATCGGTATCCGTGCAGAGTGCAAGAATAGAGGTCGTCGTTGCCTGCAAATAGGATGAAATCATGCATATATGATAGCAAACAGTGGGAAGTTCACACCTTCTGTTCCACCATTTTGATCAGGTTTGTAGCGATTCCTTGGCGTTGATACTTCGGATCAACACAAATACAATTCAAATACCAGGAGCTTTCAACAGTCTGAAAATAATTAGAAGAAAAGTTTGGATGACAGGACTGGACGCACATGAGGAGACAGAGCAGTTTTGATAAACGGGGCCAGTGCAGAACCATACTTTGATAGAGACATCAAACGGCAAGAATAACAAGTATCAGTACTGCTTACAGTGTTAATCCACCATTCTCTGGTCTTCGGTGACAGAGACTGTAAGAACTGGTTAAAGCCAAGATTCCTCTGCACATCGCTTCTGATGGTCAGCAAAGTTACGTAACCAGCAAAGATCGCAACTGACTTTTGCCAAAGAACTTTCCCTGGAGGAAACCAGAGAGCTAATCCAGCAATGGCGCCTGTATCAATAACTATCGCGGTGCATACTTTTCCGGCTAGTAGGCAGGCCCTGATCATCGCGCGAAACAATGGTCCCTCGAGACTCTTATTTCCACCAGTCATGGCGTTGATAGATGGAGCTGGATTGGAAGACATCACGACTACACTGTCGATAGTTTGAAGGCTATCTTACAGTCGACATAACCTCTGACACACATCCCGACCGACTTGTCTAACTGAGATTCTGTGGCATCCTTGAGCTATGTGGCAAGTAACGGTGATGATAGATCAGCTCGATACCTGTTAACTGGTTCACGATAGCCAGCTTGTACGGAAAGTTGTTCATGGTATGTGGCACAATTGAAAGATAATTCCACGTACTAAAAGCTATTAATCATCTTAGTACGGGATCTTTATCAGCGTCCTCATGTAGCCTCATGTATTCTTGAAACTTGGACAAAATTTCCAATGACGATCCATTTGGTACACCGACATAGCTTTGTTTCCAAAGTGTCACAATTATAGGCGTACTCATCCAAGCCTAAACACTCTCTGTCTCAGACTCTCGGCCGGGCACATGGGCATTGGTACGCAGACGTACCAAATCAGACGCAAAATGCATCAACACCATCAAAATGATGTGATGTGATGGTCATCAGCCAGATACCAAATCCGATTAGTCCGGTGAAAAACATTCACCCATTACCCCTGCAAGTTTCATGTACGTAGGCGACCTGTCACGGTCCCCGGCCATATACTAATACACTAGACCATTCTGAGTGTATGATTGCAAGCGATAACTTGGCAAATAACAGGTTACGGAACTTCCTCACACTGCTCGGCGACATCACGGGGCAGAGCAGGTTTACATACTGCCTTTTCCGAGTCGGTGTTCGGCCGTATCCGTAAATGCAACACACGTAAGTTTTACATGCGTCATCTTGCTATGATTATGCTACATGCAGCTCTGCTAGCGGCTGCGGAGTCAAACCAACCTGTGGCGAGCTGTTGCAATCAAGTTTGCGAATAGCTTGCAGTAAGTAACGTAAAGTTTGCCACACAACCACATTGATCATGCCGCTTCAATTTACTACGCCTATGCGTTCTCAAACTTTCTTATTCAGATAAGTACCGTTCCAAAATTTTGAAGCTGATCCAATATCACGCTCACTGAGTTGTCTGCGTCTAAATCTCGCTCAATTAGTACTGGATCATGTCGGCCAGATTCTCTAATGCCAGAGAAGGGTATCAAGCTCTCAGCCAGGTCACTCGTTTTGGTGATGAAGGTAACATAACTCGTTAATATATCTCATTGAAACCATGCTGAAAAACTCAGATCTCGGGGATCTCCCGCAGAGGACAAAACACAACCGGACGTTGTCCACATGGCTCCTTGCGATCACGATTTTATGCACTGTCTTGGATTTTTCTATGATTTTCTGGGATCGATTTCTTCGAGTCGACCTTCGCTCCGCTTCAACCTCAGACGAACTTGAGTTGCTCCCATTCCAGAACTCATATCTCAACCTCGAGATCCTCTATAAGGATCCTGATTTCAAGAGCTCTACACACGATCCAATTATCAATAATGTACCAGCAATCGCTCAAGTGTCTAATAAGGAGCGCCAGAAAATTATCCCTTCATTTCAGCGCTATAAGTCGGTGGAACAAGCCAGTGCTCCCATATACGAGCAACGGCTAATAGTGACACACGATGTATGTTATCGAGTAAAGAATCTATTCAAAAGACTGAATCTTGTCTAGCTCGAGAGCATCGCACAGTTTCGTGTGCTTGATTTCGGCATGGAGAATTGCAGCCTCTCACTCACTATCCCTCCGAGAAACAGCACAGAAGATTTTCTCTATACGGATCTTGGTGATTCTGTAATTCTCGATGTCTGGTCTCTACCGGCTAGACATAAGTTGGACCTATACAATCTGTCGTGGTCGAAACTTCCTCAACCAAGGGTACACATTGGCCACATGAATGTGTCATATGGGAAGACATCTCGTATGCCAAGCTTTCAGTGCAAGTCGCAGTCATACCAGACATTCGCGGTCTCCTGCTCTAATCCTGGTTGTCTTGTAAATGTGACAGGCAATGATATAGGCCCTTCAGGTGTGATCGTTATGTCTACTTTTGTTGACGATGTTCTGACTAGCCTTACTTGCAGGGCTATACATGTATCAGAGCCAAACAATTTAATTAGGCGTGCAACCGAACTGCGCGGGCAGAGACTTCGTTTACCGTCTGACATGCAACTTTGTAGCCTTAGAACACGGTAGAAAAATGAAGTACATGCAACGTACAGTGTGGAGTTACTAGTGAATGCCTCTCGTATAAAATTTTGAGGGAGCTGCCAGTGGTCCATTGCGTGACGGGTAAGCTTCGCGACAATTCGGACAGTACGGCAGGTAGCGACGACATCAATATTATCACAGAGAAAGTTTCCGAACTGTAACACTCGCTCATGTGATCTACACTAAGAATGTTTGCCAAATATTAGGTTTGCACAGGACGAGGCTCTCGTTTGCGTAGCACTGCTAGTAGTTGTTGTTCAACTTCCGTCTAGTCCATGAATTGATCATGCTAGCGAGGTTGTCAACCACCCTAGCGCTCATCATTATCACACTCCCTTTAATTATAGGCATGCCGAATAAATATTCTATCAGACACTGCCCGTGACTAATCGATGCTGATGAGTGATTTTGTTACATCAGAATGAGCAGAACGATCAAAAGTAAGTGCGAGCGCATAGCCTAGTATTACTGTTGATATAAACAGCGCAAGAGCAAGCTGGCGACTTGTTTGTAAGGATGGACGCAACGACACATACTAGTAACAACTTCCGAACCCGGCTCTGGGTTGTTGCTCTCTGCATTTTCATGAAGATCAGTATGATAATCTTCTTCTGCAGCCCTCAAGTCAATGAAAAACCGAACAAAACCTATTGTGAGCGAGCCTGCGGCCAAAATGTGAATCATGCATTGATTTTTCACCACAGCGTTTGCCGGCGACGATTTCCCTCGACTGTTGCCCCTAGCACAGGCCGATCCAGTCATGATGGCCTTCGAAGATTCAATACATTATCAAATAAACACTGAAGATGGGAAGGCGGAGTGGGCCAGCCTAATACCGGGTAACGGGCTTGTTTATTTGGGGGAACAGCCTGGTCACCCATTCTCGATCTCGATGTTCCACCAATTGCGTTGTCTCGATATCCTACGAGACGATATCGTTGGAGCGGACAGCAACGCAGCCCTGAGCCGTCACTGTCTCAACTACTTGCGTCAGATGATAATGTGTCGCAGTGATGCCCAGCTGGAAAACATACTATTAGGAAGCAAAGACAGTCCATTTCCACAATTTTTCGTGCAACCTGGGCCATACGTGTGTAGTGATTGGAATTTCGTACTGGAGGAAGTGAAGAAGAACCAGGCTGGATCCGAGTTGATGCCATGATAATCTCATATGCGAGTCGCAGGGAATATCGTCTTAGATTCACTGCACGATAAACAGTTTGATCCGATAGAACGCAAAGTCAATGCAACAGCAGGTGGCTTTCGATTGTATTGAATACACACGCATGGTTTTGTCAGTTAGATATTTGCTTCCATTTTGAACACCGACAATGCCGTGAAGTGAAGCAGAGAATAGTCATGAGGCACTGTAAATAGGATAGAACTATGAAACGCGCAGCAACACGGCATGAAGCGAATACTAAATAGGACTAATGCGTGATGGATGCAATAGCACCCGGTTGTTTGTGTAGCCATGCGTGCAACACAGCTTGATTCTATGCAACGTTCTCGATCTAGTAGCATCTTTGCCCCATTCATGCAGCAGGTATCATTTTCGAGTAATCATGGACTGGATTTGAACTTCATGCCGTCTAGTCAATTGATGACCATCAGGATTCTGTCGGAGATGTTTTCTACCATAATCCTTTAAGTATCGCTGGTTTCTAGAATTCCTAGTGTGGCTGAAGCGCTGATAGTCAGTGATAGGCCTACAACAAACCTACAGCGTCCCTTCCCGTGTCCATCATGGCGTCCACTGAACTTGCTACGCAGCGTGCTCTGTATGTTGGGAATACCATTTCCTCAGTCGTTTATGGTGAGATTCTATCCTATCGGTAATGGTCTCTTGTTGACAGCTCATGCTCTGCGTATAGGAGGAAATTTATTCCTATATGTCTACTCTACCTACCTGCTTATGACCTCAGTTAAGCAAGTGCGGCACAGGAGATTCTACATATGTTTTGGAGGCCTTCTCTTGCTTCTTTTGACAATCGCTTCCGCAAGTAATAACGCTTTATGCGAACTAATGTGGATAGAAAACCAAAGCTACCCTGGTGGCCCACCTGCATATCTCGCTGCAAATTTGGCTGCTTGGTACAATGTCTTTGGCACAGCGGCAGACTGCGCTGCAAATATTCTGACGGACGGACTCTTGGTGAGTTGACAACACATTGTTATTGAGTTCTGATGCCCATATCTACATCTCCAAAGCTTTATCGCTGTTACATTATTTTAGGGTCAAGATTGCCAATAATCATCATCCCTGCAATTATATACCTGGGATCTGCCAGTACGTGCTACGTTGTCCATCCTGCACCAACTAACCATTGCTCTGTGCAGCTATGGCTGTCATGATGGTGATTGAGAGTGCCATGCCAATGTCAAATCTATGGCAGGGCTTTGCTGCACAATTCGGTATCTCATGGGTTGCATTGACTGTCGGCTTCAACATTATTGTGACTGCATTGATCGTTTCCCGGTTGCTATTCTTTCATCGCAGAGTGCAATCTATTTTCACCGATCAACAGAAGAGTACTTACACCGGCACTGTGGCAATTCTGGTGGAGTCTGCCCTCCCTTTCACAATTCTTGGGATCGCCTACCTTGCCACCTATATCCAAGGCGTTCCAAGTGCAACAGCGGTGGGAATAATCTGGGGAACCTTCGTGGTGCGTTCGCGTGCACTATCACAATGAGTTGTCCTACACTGACAATTTGCTAGGTTTTGTCACCCCAGCTCATCATTTTAAGGATCGCTGCAGGGACTGCGTGGTCAAGAGACACGGCCTCTGACATCACTCAAACAACTCTGCATGCAAGTCCCCATGTCAGCTCGTCCTCTAGCAGCAGCAATACGATCAATAAGAATCCGTGGTAGTAGGGCTCGGGCATATAGTGCCACGTCCACGTCCAGAAGTTAGCTTTCGAATCACATTGTTTGCAAGATATCTTCTGCCCGTCTCAATTTTATCATTCATGTTACTCCCGCACTTGCTAGTTTCGCAGATTTTTTTTAGAAAGAACTCCTGTTTGAACCGAATAAGTCCTGGCGTATATCGCATAGGCTGATGATGAAATCGCATCCTTACAGCGATGTATTTGTGAGGCTGTGTAAAACGGGTAATATCCCATCGAAAGGACATTAGTTAAAATGAAAAAAAGCTGTAGCTCAGAACCATAGTAAGGGATGATTGTCTTCATTCGCGTGGTATTAATTGGGTGTTCAAGTGAACAGTCACTCAAATAAGCTGTGATACAAAATCACCCATCCCTGTCTCGTTACCAGACCGAGACGGACAAGCCAGGCAGTGATGCGACAACTAGTACTTAGTGGCGTAGACCAGCTCGAAATAGCTGAGGCTAATCTTTGTGCCAGTTTTCCAGTGCCATGTTACCGAGCGCGCACATACTATACTAGTTAACACCATGGACATATAATTGCCCACGGCACGGCGTGGATATAAATCTGTGGAGGATACCCCTATATTCGCCATTACTCATTCCTCACTGTCGTTGTAACATGGTTCCTAAACTTTTTATCATCCTCTCGACACTTTCGGTGTATATGCTCACTGCACGATATTCGACTCGTCGGGACACAGGAGGCAGTAAGTGCAGCAACTATGATTTAGTTGAAGTTGTCGTTTCGTACTCAATGTATACATACTTCAGGCGCTTATGCAGACATTGCAACTGAGGATATGGCAGTCGAGGCCACTTGGATTCTGGGCTGAGTTATCGCAGCTGGGAAGTGTGGAGACTGAGAGGAAGGAAGTTATATCATAGATTGTTGGCTGGTATTAATGGACTACTAGACGCATATAAGTTAGTTCACAAGTTTGTCATAATATGCTTTCCACGACAGATAAAAGGAATAGCTGGCTCAGAAAAATAACATCAGATCTAAGATCTGATATGGTGTTCGAACCGATTGTAATTGGCCTCACTAACTTGAACGAGGGTTTAGGAAGATTCAATGAATACTGCCAGTGCGCGAAAATTGGAAAAAAAAGCTCCAGGACGTAGGTAGAGAACGGAGACGAGTAGAGAGATTTGTGAATACGTGTGAGAAAGCCGTATATGTGCGGGAGGGAAAGGAGGGATAGGATGTATTATTTAGGAGTCGAGAGGGTCTTCCTAAGATATGAGAACAAGTGAACCCTGACCGACGAAAGATAACAAGAATCGAAATACATACATCAAACATCAGAAGGAACGATCGTAAAAGGATCACGACCATCATACGCGGACCGACCATTAAAGTGCAATATGGTAGGATTCCTCCGAATGTATATCTGGAAAGATTCAGATGACTACCGTCCCATAGCTTGCATCTCTGATGCAGAGACTCCAGCTGCTGCAAGGAACTCATCATCGCGAGACGAAGAGTCAACCGAGGTGTCCACTGCATGAGCTAGATCCGCGCGGATCAAAAGAAGCTTGGGCTTCACGGGGACCCCATATCGACGTTTCACTCCTTTCAATATCCAAGCAACGAGCCAACAGCGCCGAACAGATCGAACAGTAGAAAAGTATCCTCTAATCATGCTGCAGATACCCGAGAGATAGTGGTAGTTGTCGACCGACCAAGGGGCGTGAAACTTCCAATTGCCATCGCGCATCAGACATCGTACCGGCGAGCGAGCCGTCGTCCCCAGTCTGAACTGTTGTCCGATTGCTGTAATCCCATTGTTGTCTCTTTTCAGCGTCATGTCTCACCCTGTTCCCTTAGCCGAATTCATGGTGTTTGTGGTTTCCTTGACAACCTTCATAGCCTTGAAACACGGTACTTCGAAGTGAGAACGGGCCAAAAAGCATCGTTGTTGATACTCGCACCATCAAAAGTCACTGAATCCGCATGACAATCTGAGTGACGCTTCGAACATGACTCGATGTGGTCGATGAGTGCTGAGTGTGGTCATGTACAAAATCCAAGCGCAGTAGCGAACACGGCTGGATGAGCCTCGGCATTCAGGATAATACAGCGGATCATAATATAGCGCATCCTCGGTGATATCATGTAAAACATGAGGCAGGGTGACGATCATTGATATTAAGTGCACGAGGTTTCATCAAGGGACAATTATTCAAAAGAGCTGTCATTGGTAAGGAGAACTTGGAGCTATGCAACCTGAACCTGTGGGAGGCTTCAGAAACACACAACATAAAGCGGGAGGCAGTGCGTACCAACCAGACATGGTCCAGATCCGTGAGAGAATGAAAAAAAGGTTAAGAGGTAACACGTGGATTAGAAAATACAAGGAAATAATTGGCTGACTGCGATGCTAGCTCAGGTACTATATATAGACTTACTTATAGTTCTTCGGGGCCGCAGACCGTAAAGTCTGCATTATGCCATCAACCATACCATTGCATAGCCCCGTCGCAGCTTTGAATAGCATAGCATGCTAGCTTATCCCATAATACCTCCCAGACCAAACATGAGTCTATTCACATGTGTGCTTGCGACCCCGAACGCCTTTATCAGTACTGGTTTGCAATTGAATTCGTGATATCCATCCCGTCCACTGATTCAAGCCATGCGGAACAATAGACTTGAACCCTCTGTCTACCTGATCATGATGGTATCCCTTGCTGTCGTATCTATTGCACTCACTAGCATCATATTCAAATCAATACTTTCAAGGGAAAACTCGAACATCCAGTATTTCTCGAAAACACGCACCCCAAGGTGGCAGAAAAATTTTAGTCAGTATAATTTCTGTCCAAGATCAGGATATGTTTAAATCATATTTTCAGCTTTCATGGGCGACGACTTTCCTGAGTCCCTAGTACCTGATGCAGCTAAAGTGAGATTCGTGGTGGAGGAAAGCGTACGCTTTGCGCTAGACCTTCCAGAGTCCAAGACGGAATGGCTTTCCACTTCTCCCCCAGGGACTGGATACGTAGTTCTGGGTGCGGAGAATCGGGTTTTCTTCGTGGCCATGTTCCATCAGCTTCACTGTCTCAGGCTCTTGCAAGTGGCTAGGCTCGCGGGTCAGAACTCTGATCAAAAGCATACTCATCACTGTCTTAATTATCTAAGACAATGGACACTGTGCCAAGCAGATCTGACACTGGAGGCAGGAGATTTTACAACGCGAGACTTCGAACAAGACCGCGTTGGTGCTACACACGTCTGCAGAGACTGGGGGGAGCTATACGACAGTGTTACCATCAATTGGAAAGACCGGCAACTTGGCAATCATACAGCAGTAAGTCCCAGCGACTGTTATCATGATCAAATCAACTAACTCTTTTCCGGATAAGTGAGTGCACGAATTCCATACCTTTTAGTAGTAGAACTGTTGTAGTAGCGTAGGGCACCTATCCCCAACTCATGGTTATTCATTAGTATCCCGTAATTATACTTGAAACTTACAAACACTGCGTGAAGCTTGCTTTGAGCTGGACAATCTGTTTGCCTGGTCTCCAATAATTTTGAGAATTCAACAACAGAGACGTGTGATAAATGTGATTATCTCCCTCTGCAGAGGAAGAGGCGTTCAGCTCACCAACTCAGTTCCAGAGTACACGATGCGAGCCGTTTGGACGAAGTAGCATTCGGACGGCATCATCCGATTGCACGGACAATTGTCGGATGTGGTAGGACTGATCTTCAATAAACCGAGAATATCAATGCAGTCTGATAAGCAAGCAAATACAGAGCTCAACTTCATCTCCTCGGCAGGAGTGGCCCATGACTTTGAAGTACTAAGATTAGAGGCTGCGTAATATAGGTGGTAAAGTTGCGTTCAGGTCAGATAAAACGCACCACTGCTGGAATCTGTCGTGAAGAGTAGCAATAAGATTAAGAGATGCAAGTCAATTGAAATGACCGGAAGGATTGACGAGTCGTGAAGCCGGATAGAGCTGTATCCGTCTGCTGCTGGGAGTGTAAGTGTCAGTGCCGATGCTTACGTTTTTTCGCATACAACGTCTCGAAACTGCTGCAATCGATTTAAATTAGCTACAAACATTCGTCTACATCAAGGTTTCTGTTTGACCGCGCAGATTACTTCTGAGGACGGGCACAACACATGAGTCAGCACCGATGCCACTACATTTGCACCTAGCCTCTTACCTATCATGGGGCATGCGCCTGATTTAGCCAGAACACAAACGTGTTCGTCGCGGAACTTGGACACACTGACCGTGGTGAGACATTGTACAAGATTGTTGAACCTGTTGGGATCTGTTCTCTATCGCAGACATTTGTTGGTCGATTCCGCGAGACTTGTGCATGCTGCGAGCATCTATTGAGCGTTTGCTAGACGATTACGTCGTGCATCATGCGGGCAACATAACCTCTAAAGACATCGAGTCATCCTCGCATTATGCGACGTCAAACATCAATCGCCTGGAAGAGATCAGTGAATAATTGACAAACATCAACTTGCTAGTTGACAAAGTAAGATTTATATCAACGAAGGTGAACAACCACTCATGAGACGTCGGGTTAGCATAGCTCAACTAGGTTCATGGGCGTGTTGAAATCTGTGCAGACTAGGAACACACCATTTCTATCAAAAACATGCCCATATGGACTTTCTTGTGATCACCATCCGAGTTTCGCCGACCACGTGTAGCAGACTCCAAGCACTGACAGCTTGCCTCTTGGTGACGTTTTCAGTACATTTATAGCGATTCAAGCAAAACTTACCCATGCATATTACGCTGCCAGCAGCCCGGCCTCGAAAATGGAGTTGGGGATCCAAGCTGAAGATGAGTTGAGCACAATGCGATACTGAAACTGACTGTTCCATCCCCGTCACAGATGACGAATTTTGCTCAGAGGCTGCAATGGTACGCTTATTTTTATCGGTCATGACGTCAGGAGATGGAGCTGGATTGGAAGACATCACGACTACGCTGTTGATAGTTTGAAGGCTATCTTACAGTCGACATAACCTCTGACACATATCCCGACCGACTCATCTAACTGAGATTCTGTAGCATCCTTGAGCTATGTGACAAGCAACGATGATGATAGATAGGCTCTGAGGATACCTATTAATTGGTTAATGATAGTCAGCTTGCACGGAAAGTTATTGATCGGTGTTCTCACAATAGACTTAGGAGTCGGACCCTCGGGCACACGGGCACTAGTATATACCAAATCTGGCAGACATCATCAAAGCACCACGCAAATATCGCATGATGGTGAAACAGTCAGATACCAAATCTGAGATCTGATAATCATACGATTGAGTCCGAGAGTATGATTGGAAGCGATAAGGCAGACAACAGGCTGCAGAACTTCATCAATGATGTCAGGCCTCCGAGTCAGAGATGCAATCTCTGGCTGGAGTAAGTAGGGACTCGTAGGTTGTCCAGTGCAAAAACGGTAGTGAGTAAATCAACTGCTCGCTGCTTTGGGCTCGTGGTTGTCGTGTTGTAGTCCGCAAGAGATCCAGTTGTGAGCTGACTTGGAACACAAAAGAATGAATGTATTGAGTCGGGTCGCAGCATCTTGAAGGACGAATGACATGATGGGCTGTGCATAGTTCAGTAAGACTCGGAATAGACATGTTTACGTGAATCAAACGTGAATGCGTGGTCCAGCTTCGTCTGCACTGGGCTTGCTGCGACTTCGATGACACGACCTTGTGGTGGTTGTGCTGGTCCGAGCGTAGCTCGGGGCGGACAACTGGTCGCGAATTCGGACGTGCCATGAATGGAAAGGGCAGGAAGTTGGAACATATGCTTAATGATCCGAAAATCAGAACTTGTGCCATTGCTTCTAGACGCTAGTATGTACTTGAATGCAGATGAATAAAACTAATGTATTTAACAGAATACTAAGGTGGGAGCAAAATAACGAAGTCCGGAGTGAGAAAGAGCGGAAGTTCGAGCGAGTCGTCGAGGAGATGGGTGACGAAGAAGGAGAAAAGAATCAGCTGGACGCGTGGTGCCGGAAACTTCCGCAGGCTCCGTTGGACCGTTTCCCATCATGTCACGGTTATCTACGGATCTACCGTCTTTTCAGCTTCGCCGTAGGGGCAGCTACTACTAAGTACTAGTTGCAATTGATTAGACCGGTCACCAGTCTATCAATTGATGACCATCGGGGTTCTGTCCGAGTGAGTCAGAAATGTGTTCGCCGTGATCCTATAACTATCGTTGTTTTATACATTAGTGCGGCTGAAACGCTGATAGCCAGTGATAGTCCTACAACCAACCTACAGTGCCCCTTTCTGTGTCCCTCATGGCGTCCACCGAACTCGCTACGGAGCGTGCTCTGTATGTTGGGAATATGATTTCCACAGCTATTTATGGTGAATTTCTATCATATGAGCAATAGTCTCTTGCTGATAGTGGACACCTCGTACTCCCCGGGCAAAGGAGGAAATTTATTCCTATATGCCTACTCTACCTACCTGCTTATGACCTCGAGCAAGCAAGTGCAGCACAGAATATTCTACATATGTTTTGGAGGCTTTCTTTTGCTTCTTTTAACAATCAGTGTCGCAGGTAATATCGCCTTCTGCGAACTGATGTGGATAGAAAGGCGCAACAACCCTGGTGGCCCCCCTGCATTTTTTGCTGCAAATATGTCCGCTTGGTACAATGCCTTTGCCACAGCAGCAATGTGTCTCGCAAATATGATGACAGATGGACTCTTGGTGAGTTTACAACATATATTGTTATTGAGCTTGGAGCTCCAAGGCTCATATCTACATCTTGAAAGCTTTATCGCTGTTACATTATTTGGGGGTCAAGATTACCAGTAATTGTCATCCCTGGAATTATCTACCTGGGATCTGCCAGTACGTGCTGTGCTGTACGTCTTCCACCAAACTAACCAGTGCTCTGTGCAGCTATGGCTGTCATGATGGTGATTGAGAGTGCCATGCCCATGTCAAATCTATGGCGGGGCCTTCCCGCACAATTCGCCATTTCATGGATCGCGCTAACTGTCAGCTTTAACATTATTGTGACTGCATTGATCATTTCCCGGCTGCTATTCTTTTATCGTAGAGTACGATCTTTTCTTAACGATGAACAGAGGAATATTTACACGGGCATTGTGGCAATTTTGGTGGAGTCTACCCTCCCTTTCACAGTTCTGGGAATTGTCTCCCTTGCCACCTATATCCAGGGTGCCCCATGTGCGATGGGGATAGAAATAATCTGGGCAACCTTCATGGTACGTTCGTTTGCACTACTACAATCTGTCCTGCACTGACAATTTATTAGGTTTTGTCACCCCAGCTCATTATTTTAAGGGTTGCTTCAGGCGTTGCATGGTCAAAAGACACAGCATGTAACATCACTCAACATGCAACTTTCCCTCGCAACTCATCTTCTGGCAGCAGTACTATTAGTATGCACAGTAAGAATCCGTAATAGTAGGGCTTAGACATATGGTGCCATGTCCCCGTCCAAAGATTTATCATTCGAGTCACATTTGTTTGCAAGATATCTTCCGCTTGTTCAACTTTGTCGTTTAATAGTATTACTCACACTTACTTAGTTTAGCGAATTAAAAAACACTTGATAACTAGTCTTGGTATCATGATATGGTCAGCCTAAGAACGAAGGGCATATTTCACGCTGTACGTCTGGCGATGGGATTACATGGTCTAAAGACTAGCTCGAAATAGTTGATGCGTTATCGCAGCTGGAAAGTATAAAAATCAGGAGGAACGATGCCAATTTGGGTGCCAGGCCAATCATGAGTCTATCCGCATGTGTGCCCACGACCCCGAAGCTTGCTCTGAGCTGCACGAGTTGTTCGCCTGATCTCCAGTAATTCTGAGAAATCCAACCACGGAAACGTGTGATCGACATGATTGTCGCTCTCAACATAACCTCTGAAAGCATTGAGTCATCCTCGCATTGTGTGACGTCAAACATTAATCGCCTGGAAGAGATCAGTGAATGATTGACAAACATCAACCTGCTAGTTAACAAAATGAGATTTCTATCAACAACGACAGTAAACAATGTACTCATAGGACGTCGGGTTGGCGCAACTAGGTTCATGGGCATATTGAAGTCTATGCAGACTAGGAACAGGCCACTGCTACCAAAAACATGCCTACGCTTATCTCCTTGTGCAGTGCAATCACCGTCCGAGTTACACTCACCACGTGCAGCAGGCTTCGAGCGCTGACCGCTTGCCTCTTGGCGATGTTCTCAGCACGTTCGTAAAGACCTAAAAACAACTTGCCCATACGTACCACGCTGGCAGCAGCCCGGCCTCGAAAATAGAGTTGGAGATCAAAGTCGAGGACGAGTCGAGCACACTGTGACAGTGAAACTAACTGTTCCGTCCCTATCACACATGACGAATTTGGCTCAGAGGCTGCGATGGTCCATTCCTGCTCATTGACAGAACTCACAGCATGATGGGGATCAGGGCGGCGGCACGGCTTAAATATCTTGAAGCATACCAGTGACTATGTGTTGGCCCTGCTGGGCTGGGATATGTAAGGTGATACGCAGGACTCTGTATAGGTTGTAAGAGGGCTAATATGGGCAGGTACAGGCGAAGGGACGTACCATGATCGATCTGATCCATCGGACTCTGCTTTCTCCGATTTATCGATTTCGGACTAAATGCTGCGAGTAGCTTGGTGGGGTGGACGCAAAGTATTTGAAATCCTCCTGATCGATATTAAATTGCTTCAGTGAAAACCTGATTCGAACATTTTGACGTGAATTATAGGCTATGCGTGGCAAGAATCAAGAATGCCTGACTTCACATGTTAAATGACGACTCGGAGTTCAACGTCACGTTCAACGTTCAATCGGTCCAACTTGCTTATGTCATAGGCAAAGTTATAATTGTATTAGCTCGAAAACGTTTCCGGTCGACCATAATGTTTGCGTACCTGGAAAGCATAACCTGGGTCCGATGAGCACTAAGTCCCAGTGAAAATCGACAAGAATGAGGTAGATACAAATCTAAGAAATTCGAGACCGCAAAACTCTAATTTTGTGCAAAACGCAAAGAATCTTCGCAAAGGAAAAAAATGCAAACATTGTCAGACTTCGATCGTGTAATTTGCAACTACGCAACGAACTTTCGGCAAACTTTGCATATACAGACGTTCAATGCAGCATGCATATGCATGTGCGTATTTGTAACTTAGCCATGTATGTGTGTTATGTTTATTATGAGTCAATGCACTGGTTGAACCGTGCGCATCTTCTCATCCGCTCACCATGTCATTTGTCCCCGCCACGACCGTCCGGCTCGATACAATCATTCCCTCGCATTTCAAGTTACTACTAAGCCAGGCTGCCCGAAACTATATCTCTCGCAGACTACAACATGACAACCACGAGCCCACTGTATATCTCTTCATACACGCCATCCATTACCGCGCTGATCAAGGCTCGCGCAAGTCACGACAAGTCCCCGTCGGTCCCTTCGTTGCCATTGGCCAGGATTGCTCAGCTGGTGCCTCGTTCACATTGGATGCTGTGGAGCCTGAGCTGGAATTGGTGCGAAGACGTTTGCCCCCTCCCCCACTGTTTCCTTCTCCAAGATAATGAGCGTTGATCCAAATTGAGAGCACTGGGCACATTGCGAGACAATACTTGGCTCCATCTCGCGTGCCACAAGACACAAGAATTTGATGAACCCTTTAAGTCAGCCTTTCTCATGCGCGACGAGCCGCTTTCGCTCCTCGATGTCACACAGACGGATCTGTCTCGGCAAGAATTTGCATTTCTTTCTGCCTGTTAAAACCTGTCTACCAGTATCAAGGAGGTACGTGCTACGTCAGTGAAAACCTCCCGCGCTAATGCAGTACACTAGGAATACAAACGAAAGGCCACAGCGCAGGTGAGTTTCATCGTGCCTAATAGTATGTTTTGTGCCTCTTTGCTTCTCCCTACTAACATCATTGATATACAGCTAGCGTCACCCACTTCCCCATCATGCCATGACGTAGCACTCCGATTCAAAAGAAAATTCCCGCTCCTCCCTCCAACACCTCTACATCCAAAATCAACTCTGATATCACCGAGGTGTTGTCCGAAGGTTACTGCGCGGTAAGTTGTTCTTTTATTATCATACCAATCAAAACTAATTCTATGATTCGTATCATACAAGAACTTGTGTGCTCTCAACTGGCAATCAAACGGCCATCAAAAGGAACCAGCAAGTGTCTTCGCCTCTTACTGGAATGGGCTGTCTAAAGCCGACAAAGAGGTGCGTCTTTTTCTCATATTGATATCTATCTAATACTGTCTACTATTATAGGTGTACAAGTGCAAAGCAGCTGCTCAGGTGAGCGCCACATGTCATATTCTATCTCATAGTATCACACTAACGGTCCCGTTTTGTAGCTCAAATCAGCCGCCAGCGGAGTCAGTACTACCGGCAACGACGTGGACGAGGAGTAGTGGATAGCGGGATGGTGGGCGAGGCGCCTGGCGCAGCGAGCAGCGATACCCTACGCTAACTCCAGCGATACTATCCTAACTCTAGCGATACCCATAGATAGCTTCATTTGTTCGCATTAGTTCTATATCGATATGTTTTTCAAGTGATAATGTGCATGTAAATGTCTATCTAAAGATCTAATGCCATCGAGAATCCTATCTAAACGTTAAAAACTCGTCTCGATCTCTATCTTTTTGCGTCTCGAAAAGTCACAATTTAGGGATATACCTCGAAATGGGTCGATAGAATTGATATCCTTATTTTTTTTATATGTCTATCGTTACATATCTACCTCATTCTTGTCGATTTTCACTGGGACTAAGTACCTTCTTCCCGTCCATCCCACACAACACTTCCCACGATGGACTTCAGTAAGTTTTCTCCCCGCTCACTACGCCATGACTCGCACTGACATCGACTCTAAGCACATCCCTCATCTTCTAGTGGCTCGTGGAACTGTCTATGCAATGTCGTAGAATATAGCGGCATTTTTGATTCTGAATGTCGTCAGCCCCACTCACGGTGCATGGAAAACACTCGTGTTGCCCTTCGGAGGAGCATAACCCAGGTCCTTGACCAACGTGATCGAACGAACATCTGGCTTAACGGTCTCGCTGGTGTTGGAAAAACATCTATCGCGTTCACCATAGCTGAGGAGATGAAATCAGCGAAGAGGCTTGCTGCCACGTTCTTCTTTTCACACAAACACGCACAAAAAGCTGCCACCATCATTCCCACCATCGCATATCAGCTGGCACTAGCTTTCCCGCGCATTCGAGGAGACATTGTGAAAGCGATCGAGAACGACGACAGCCTCCTATCAGATGGAAAATCTCATGCGGATCAGATGCGAGAGCTCGTCATCAGGCCACTGCAGACATTGAAATTCCGCGAAGAGCCCTATGTCATCATTATTGATGCTCTCGACGAATGTTTTTCACGGGAAGAGGCGGCAAGACTAGTCGCGTTGCTGACAGACACCCTCTCAGGCCCATCCTTGCCACTTATCCACGTCATATTTACAAGCCGCCCCGAGGTGCATATTCGCGCTGCCATGCCCTCCGGTGTCCACGAGATTCTCCTTACCACTCGTGATAAAGACACCATGCAGGATGTTCGCTTCTTTTTGCGAACATCACTGGATAAAACAAGGACAATTCGTCCTGCTGTTTTCGGTCAGCCACCCATACCCTGGCCATCGGAGGATGACTTCGAGACGTTGGTCTTTAAAGCAGGCAGTCTCTTTGTTTACGCTGCCATGGCCGTGAATTTCATATCCACCGCTGGTCATCATCCACAGGAGAGACTAGAACTCTTACTACGCAAGAAGTCGACTGTCGGTGCTGACATTGATCAGCTTTATCGGGAGATAATCGAGGCTTCGGAGGATCCACTTGCACACTGTCGGATGTTAGCGTCTATAATCAATCTTAGATATCCGCTGTCACTTGCGGAACTCCGAGAACTCTTTTATGCGGATGAAAGGCGCTTGGCCATGATGCTTGAAGCATTTTCACCCGTGATCTTGAATGATGGGGCTGGGCATGTTGAGATTTATCATGCTTCGCTTCGTGACTTTATGAGTGATCCTTCACGGTCGAAGCAATATCACATAGATGCCCCACATACCCATGAGCACCTTGCGTGCTGCTGCCTTGACTTCATTACACGTCAGGGTTCCGTTCGGACTCACGCCATTCTAGCGTCGCCATTGCCTTATCCATATCCACATCAGATGCGGGATATTCATCTTCGCTCTGCCTACCCTAGCAGCAAACTTCGAAAGCTGCTGTCGCGGTTTACGAACGAATCAATGCAACATTGGGTACAGACCTCAATTTCAAACCTTACCTTGCTCGAATCTATCCAGGGCGCAAGGAAGACTTGTTTATCCTTGGTGATTAATGTTTTGAACGTGTTGAATCATTGGGACCTGTACTAACCATGATTTGCTCAGAAATGGATCAGGAGTCCATCGGACATTGTGGTTGCATGGTGTCTTCATAAAGGTTCTAAAAAATTCGCAAAGCGATACTAGCCGATACTACACGGAGCCCATGCAGCCATTTGGACTAATTATTGCTGTTCGGATTACTAGCCAGTGTAAATCTGCTGAACTCTATGGTCCCAACGACGCCAGTACCACTGTGCTCGTGTCAATGCACGTCCGTGGAAAACACTCCCCAACCCAAGCACTGGCTTCCACTCGAATAGCAGCCTATACGCATCAAATATGAGTACGTTTTGGCTGCTCGTAGCCATGTATCTGGTTATGTCTGTCTGCGTCGACGACCCGCAACGTCCCTGAGCCTTATCAAAGGCCATGATAACCCTTTTCAGAACCATCATCATCTGATACTCAGGCTGATAACCGTACGCGTACACGAAACACCTATATTAATGTGCACATGACGAGGAAACGCAAGAACTTGCGACTGATCGAATACATAAGACCAAGGTTGACATGATGAACAATATTTTAGTGTGGATGGTCGTTCTCAGAGTGTATAGTTCGATTATCTCGTCGTCTCTCAAATTTAGAGTGACTAAGGCACACGGGCCAGGAGATTGGTTTATTGTAAGGCCGATCGATTTCGTTTTGGAAGAGCTCGAATGTCGACATGTCATCCGTGAATGGTGGTCACCTTGCGTATACTCTATTTGAAGGGTTGGTTTCCAGCGGCATTGGTTCACTTACACGAGGGTTAGCTTTAAAACTGTTCATCACCCATAATGCGCGACGACTCTACGCGTGACGAGGAACTTATTCAGGGTGCCTGAGAAAGTTTAAATCTTGATCCTAAGTTGGACCCCGCTGGCGTAATATGAGTCTATGTCATCAGAACGCTGGCTTCTACGTACATGAGACACTGATATTAATATCAACGCGCACATGACAGCGACTGATCAGGTGCCCAGCGAGTTGGGCAACTTATATATGTTAGATATACTGAGTCCTTCCCATCATCATACCACACTAGTCTCTCGCACCCACAATGGAGCCCACTAAACAAACCCTCCCAATCGGTGGTCTCCTCGTTGACGTTTACTCCCACCCAACTTCAACCTCTAGCTCCACACACCCCATCCACGTGCTCTTCTTCCTCCACGGCCGCTTCGGAAGCGCACAAGATGAATACATAATCAATGCTGTTAAAGTTATTTTTGCTGAGAGTTATGGATTGGGCGGGGGAGAGAGGAAGAAAGATCTTATCGTCGTCACTTTTGTGAGTCATTCTTTGCTTCGTTCTCATAGGGAAGAAATGATGATGGTGGGTGGGGGAAAAGGATCACAGGAACCACGGGACGAGACTCGTGAGCAAGCAGCGAAATTTCGCGTGGAGCAAAGAACCGGCCGAGAATAATGATCATCATGCGTACGTTGCTGTCTATTCAAAGCTGATAATGTCCCCTCATTCGAATGCAGGGTAGACATGTATACCATCCAAAGTATGTCCAGGCCACAACCGATACTAAACGTGAGTCGTGAATCTGACCCCACACGAAGCCGGTACAGCACAAGACGTGTCCTTCTTAATCGACCACCTTCCTTCCTCCCTCTATCCCTCGGGTGAGCGAACGATTGTGGAATGGGGTATAGGCGGTGTGAGTCTTGGAGGACATTCGACGTGGATTGCGCTTTCTAGAGGTACGTACCAGCTCATCTAGCAACTTCATCCACACTCACAATCCCTTAGAACCCCGCCTCACCCTCGGAATCCCCATAATCGGCTGTCCCGACTACACGAAACTAATCTATCAACGCGCCCAATCATCAAACATCCCCTTCTCCCCACCTTACTTCCCCACTTCCTTTATGACATACGTAGAAAGGTACGACCCTGCACAACTGGCGTACTGCGCAAAAGACGCTTCCAATCCGTTTTTCGGCAAGAAGGTGTTGGTGCTTTCGGGGAAGGAGGATAAACTTGTGCCGTGGGTGGTGTCGGCCGAGTTTGTGGAGGGTCTTGAAGTTGGAGAGGGGGGTGTTAAGAGGGTTGTGGTGGAGGAGGGGGCAGGGCATGAATGTACGAGTGGGATGCGGAGGGAGGCTGGGTTATTTGTGAGGGAGTGGTTGAGGTTGTGAGGGTGTTGTCTGATTTTTGGGACAAGAGTTTTATTGAAGGATGTATGAAGATTCAGAATATCTTTGTAATTATAGTAGATATTGACCGAAAGACGATTACGTCCTAGTGTGCAATCATCATCACACATCAATGCATCACGACTGCATCCGTATTTCAAACCGGCGAGACTTTGCTTTCCAGTCCACGTGAGTAGGTGAACATCACATATCAGGTGCTCTTCGACGGTCTTTACATCATGAACACGTGCATGACATTGTTGACGCCGAAGGTGTTTGTATACCCACTGCTTATCTCTGTGCGCTCAGGCTCTTTCCAATTTCACTGGCTTCAACATTGGGTCCAAATACTTATAGCTATCGCATTCTCATGTCAAAGGCATCAAGCGCTGACGGCGCCGAGGACCAGTGCGCCCATACCGATGAGCAGCCTGCCCCAGAACAGGATAATCCAGGACCCCCGCAGGATTCAGAGTAAGTTGCGGTTTCCTGGGATCTGTTACCTGTATAACAGCAATGATAGGGAGCAAGAAAGTAGCGGACCTCCAGCAGCGGAGTTACGATCAGTGGTGTAAGTGATTCTTCCCTGATGTTTGTATGCAACTCCTCACCAGAACTACAGCCCGAATACTGGGCCTTCCCAGTCATCAGAACCTCACGAACAGGAAAGTACTTCCAAGTCTGCATTGGATGACAATTTAGCTCCGTAGGTTCCTATCAATGGTGATTTGGATTTTAAACAAGCTCATGAATTGTCTCAGCCAGACAGAAAATATCGTGGCGGAGAAGGACCAGCCAAATCCGAGTCTCAATGAATTGTGAGTGACAAATCAGCCGAGTGATTGCAACTGACCACACTCTATACGCAGAGCAAATATCATGAGACAAGTATTGGATGTTCTCCAGGACTCGACCATTGCGTCGAAGGTTGGCAAGGACAATCGGTCTCGTTTCTGGGGGGTGTACAAAAGAGTCGCAGAGGAACATGACAACGAGTTCCTCGAGCGATACACTACTGACATGGACATCGTCTTGATCTTCGTAAGTTTAGCGTGCTTATCTTTCACGCATTGTGAGATTGATATTTGATCAGTCTGGTCTTTTCTCCGCTGTCAGCACGTCTTTCATCGTCGCGATGGAGTCCAATCTCAGTTCCGACCCTAGCGACACCACGAATGCTCTTCTGAAGCAACTCGTGCAGATCGGACTCGGCAACCTCGCTCAGGCGGGCCCCACTCCCGCAGAACCAGCATCTACGTGGTCGCCGTCCGATTCGACTCTGAGGATCCAAATGGTCGTATATGCAAGCTTATCCATGAGCTTGCTAGCAGCATTTGGGGCCGTACTGGGAAAGCAGTGGCTCGGGTACTACAAGTCAAACAGATATGGTCGCGGCTCGCAGGAAGAACGAGGCAAGCGCAGGCAGGAGAAGTTCGACGGCCTCACCGCATGGTACTTTGATGCCGTCGTGCAATCCTTTCCGGTCTTGCTTCAGATCTCCCTTCTTCTCTTTGGAATTGCCCTTGGCGCCAATATGTGGTACGAGCACCCCAGCATCGCCTGGGTGATCATTTCCACGACGGTCTTCGGATTTCTGTTCTATTCGCTGACAGTGATGGCATGTTTGATGTCTCCGGCCTGCTCATTCCAGACGCCAATGTCGACGGTGCTGCGTATATTGCGCATCGATAGTAAGGCCATTTTGTAACTTTGATGGTCATCATTTTCAGTCTCAATCAATATTGCAGGAGTTCTGCGCTCGATCGTCGAACAAGCCTCTAGGTATTTGCAGCGGCTCGCGACGTCAGCGGACAGTGAGGCACGTTTTCTTACATATGCCCATATTCTGACCGTTTCTTGTCAGGCATGCTGCAACGATTGCTTGCTACCCTCAGTTCAAGCTGGGCCGGATTTTCCGAGGCACTGGCAGGTGATGTTCTTATCTACTATTTCACAGGATATCCAATGCTCATCTCACTTTACAGGCCCTGTTTGCGCCACTGGCGCATTCGCACGACGTTCTCTTCAGCTGTTCTTTGCCGCGCTTCACAAAGGGCTGCGTGCTTTGGTTCCACACTCTTCAACAAATGTTGTAGACCCAGAAGCACAACCGCTCGACCAGGGTCTGGATGTTTTGGCGGATAATGATGGCGCCCTTATCCTCGACCTCCAGGACATACCCACCGGCGATCTCGAAGCGACTAGCGTCAAGTGGCTACTGGAGACATCTACGGATCCTGAAGTATTTCTCGCTGCTGCCAGGCTTGTTCCACAGGTCGAGTGGCCACTGGATTTTGATGTTTCAGACATGCTGCATCAGCTGTTTGATATTTTTACAAGTTGCGTCGACATTCAGGGGCGTATCGTACCGTCTTTGGAGGAGAAAGCATCGGCATGCACAATGGCTTTGACTCATCTTTACTATGGATGTGTTCTTCGGGGATATCCTGGTCGTAGCAATTGTATTGTCCGCGGGAGACGAGATATGGACGTAGTTTCTTCATATTTGGGCGGCGGGCATACGCACAGTCGGCAGCACAGTGTTCGACACGACTATAATTCTTTCTGATCCAAATCGTAATAGATCTCCGTGGCTTATTTCTTGGTCAGAGGCTTGCTCTGACTCGGTCCCTGAGCAATTGTCCCATCTTCTTCCTTATCACTTTGTCACTGGGCAAGTGAATAAAGGCATAGAAGACCTCGCGATAACAGTGATATCAAAATTGCTATTATCTCCAACCTCTCCGTCGAATCAAATTGTAGCCAATTGCACTCTTCTTGCTTGCGTCATGGTCGGGACTCAGGTTGACAAAAAAGACATAGTTCGGATTGATAAAAGGTGCTATCGAGTCATTTAGCAGTTTTTCTGCCACGATTAACGAAGAAATCGCGTAGTTCTACTCTGCCTCAACTCAAGAAGTCCCTTTTAGTGCAGTTCCAAAAGGCTCTCTGGGCATGGGATGGAGGCGAGCTGGACAAAGATAGCACAGCAGTCGCACGCCGGGTACAGAACCTTCTCGACATTATCTATCGCATCCTTGAGCTTGCTGGACGTTACGATCGTCCTTCATTATACACATTGCGGGACCTTGACGTGTGCAGGAAGGTTTATTTACGAGCGAGGTCATCCGAACAAAAAAATGCCTCAGTTTCGTTGGCAGCTCTGCGAAAGGTCCTGCGATTCACGTTGGCTGCTGCCAATGTTCTTCGAGACCCTGGCCAGGTGTGGGATAAGCAGTCTTGCTGGAGAGGCGAGTCGCACTCGCCAAAAGACTTCGATTGGGTGGTGGACTACTTCGACTTCATCTATTCCGACGATCACGAAGCGGCATATGACATCCTTTTGCTACTGGGTAGTATGGGAGTGTGCTGCAGTCCCGCTAAACAACATCTATTCTTCGAAAAGCCCGTCGCCTGCATGGACAGTAACATGCCTCACCATTTACGCCATGCCGCTCTTCGTGCTACTCACGGTGCACGAGAAGAAATAGCCTCGATCGATACCATTGATGATGCAGGGCTACGGGACATGGTTTTGACCAAGCTATCCCCTGCTATTTTGTCCGTGCTTTGTCCACACCCGGGTACAACACCCGCCAATGATGATCCTGACAGCCTTTTCTTCAATTATCACCGCGACTTGTGGTATGTCGAACTGGTCCTTGCCCTCGCAAGGAATTCTAACTGGCACCCCCATCTGTCTGGGGATCGCCACATGGATCGGTGCATTAGCATGATTCCAGAATACTGCAATTCCGACATCAGTCAGCATGCCTTTTACATAGCTGGTATCCTCCTTCGAATCGCACCTGAACAGACGTCGGCTACATCACTCAGTTCTATCACAGAGCAGCAGTGGTGGGACGTGATGAGAAACGCGTGGAACTGGATTCCAGGTGATTTTTACAACACACGCTGTTTCGAGCACTTTCTTGTTCTTGTGGATGGCACAAAGAAGTATATGCAGATTGCTTCAAAATCTGATCTCGAGCGGTTCATTCGAAATGTGGATGATTTTCTCGAACGTCTAGAGCAGGAGATGGGACCAGAAATGCAAGGTTTAGAGCAGGGGGAGGGGATCGCCATTGGTGTTAAGGAGTTGAGGACTGCAGCTAGCAACATGCTGGAGAGCTTTGGTCAACGAATAACAGTCCCCTAATTATGATGATTGCATGTTGTGTTAGAGTGGAAGTCATTGGGCAGTGCATGTGGGGAAGCGCGAAGTATCAAGACCTGAATGAAACCGATATTGAACCATCAGTCCTCTCTAACTTGGTAGATCCACGTCAGGCGTGAGCAACAACGGGCATGAGATGCAGATATCCCGGAGACCAGCCTGTAAATGTTCACTGGTGGAGAAAAGTTGATCCACGGGGACGAAACTAGACACTGTCACTGGTGAGGTTCTGCGCTCGGCTGCCCCGGTCACATCCCTTCATCAATATGCACGGGAAGACGAAGATGGGACAACAAACGCAAGCTTATTCATCTCTGTATCACACTCGACTACCTTCCTCATCCTCGGGTGAACGGATGGTTGTGGAATGGAGTATAGGCAATGTGACTCAGTCTTGGAGGACATTTGACGTAGATTGCGCTTTCTGGAGGTAAGCACCCGACCCATCTAGCTACTTCATGCACATTCATAGACACTCCCAAAACCCCGCCTCACCCTCGTAATCCCCCACATCGTTTGAAACATACATGGAAACGCATGATCCTGCACAACTGGCGTACTGCGCCAAGGACGCTTCCAATCCGTTTTTTTGGGGAGGAGGATAGGCTTGTGCTGTGGGTAGCTTCGGCCAATTTTGTGAAATTGGGGATAGGAATGCTATGAGGGTTGTGGAGGAGGATGGTGCGGTGTACCAGTAGGATGCAGAGGGAGGCTGGGTCGTCTGAGAGAATGGTTGAGTTGCGAGGCCGCGTTATCTGTTTTATTTTGAGTATGAGAATTGTGTTGAAGGTTCCAGAATATGTATGATATCATGATACGAGTTATATAGGTCTATGTTGACCAAAAGCCACATTACGACCCGAATCGTGGACTGGGCCCTAGTGCGCGCAGCCGTCATCGCACATCACGACGTCCGTACGGAACCTCGCTTTCCACTTTGCGAATATACCAGGCAGGCAAAGCTCCTCGGCGGTTTGGGGTAGAGGAAGGAGGATGCAGAGTGCACCGGCCCAAGAAGATCCGGGGAGGGCTTAGCGAGCAAGAGGTGCGCACATGACGTCTATCTGAGGAATGTGGCGTGCGAAACTTTGAGCTTAGGGGAGCGAGAGTGATCCGAAAATGATAACGAAGAGCTCCACCAAGAGCTAAAGGAGCTCCATGCGCGAGTGACTTATGCCTCGAATTGGAGTCCTAGGGGTATCGAGCAGAGTGAACCCAACCCTAACCTAAGATTACCAATAACATCACTTGCGATATTAATCAAATCTAATAGCAGAACTGGGGATAAAAGCCAGCTTGGATACTCTTAATCAAAAAATCATTCTTCCCCTTCTAAATTTCACTACACTTACTCGCAATGCCTGAAGGTACTATGAGAGCTCTGTGGTACAACAAGGTACCCGTCCTCCATTACCGTTACCCTCACCATCGTCTAACCTAGCGACAGCCACAAGACTTTGAGATTAAGCAAGTCCCAATACCCAAAGTCGGTGACAACGACGTTCTCTTGAAAGGTATCTCTTCACCACCTTCACTATACTCACTTTCTAATCACCAAAAACCCTAGTATCATGTTGCGGTCAGTAGTGTTCACATCACACCTTCTCGAACCCGCCGTAACCATATCTTCTGCACAGGTGTATGCGGCACAGACGGACACATTCACGACGGGGAATTCATATCCAAATTCCCGGTCAGTCCCCCTTATCATCAATGACGTCACTCCCTATTAAGCTTATCACTCCCAGCTCATCCCGGGTCACGAAGCTATAGGAAAAATCGTCGAAATGGGAAAGGACGTCACAGGTTTCGAGATCGGCGACCGCTGCGTTGCTGACGTAGGCCTAACCGTAAGTTTCACTCCACACCCGAAACAATCTCCTTACACTATAAAAATCTCAGTGCGACAACTGCTTCTACTGCAGACGCGGCAATTCCCTCCTCTGTGAGAACTTCAACGCCAGAGGCGTCACTCTCGATGGTGGCTTCGCCGAATACATCGTATAGTAAGCACAGCCCATCATTTCCACGTGATTCCTATTCCAAATTCTAATTTCATATCTCAGCCATCAAAAGAAGCTATACAAGATCAAGAACCTCACAGACGAAGAATCGACCCTCTTAGAACCAGCCGCATGCGCAATCCACGGCCTCGACAAACTCAACCCACCCGTCGGCATTGAAGTCCTCCTCCTCGGCGCAGGACCCACAGGACTCATCCTCGCTCAGCTCCTCAAGCTCAACGGCGCCTCCCGTGTCGTCATCGCCGCCAACAAAGGCATCAAGATGGACATCGCCCGCGAACTCGACGCTGGTGATGAATACATCGAACTAGACCGCCAGAACCCCGATGCACAGTGGCAGAAACTCAAAGAAGATAATCCATATGGCTTCGATGTCGTGGTAGAGGCCACGGGCGTGGAAAAGATCGCCGATATGTCGATTGGATATGTGAGGAGGGGTGGGACGTTGATGATTTATGGGGTGTATGAGAATAAGGCGCTCGTTCATTGGCCCCCGTCTAAGATCTTTGGGGATGAGATTACTGTGGGTTTCTTATTTATAACTTCGATATGATGCTGATGATGCGCCTATCCAGATCATCGGCTCCTTCTCGCAGACATACTGCTTCCCACGAGCAGTCGCATACCTCGATAGCGGAAAGGTCAAAGTCAAGGGAATGGTGACGGATGTGTTCAAGCTCGAGGATTACCAATTGGCCTTGGACAAGATGAATAGCAGAAAAGCAGTGAAGATTGCGATCAGGCCATGAGCACAGGTCCGTATCCTGCGCCCTTCATCGTCATGGCGCACCTGCAACAAGTAATACCTTGTACTTTATCCTTCATCTGTATCTTATCGCAACTCGACACAGTATATGTTGCCCATCTCTGTGTCGTCAAGTCAATGTGCGACTCCCAATTCACATATCATGACGATACGACTCGATGCCTTCGACTCTGTAAATGTGTAAATGACACAACTGCTATAACACATCAAAAGGAGACAGAGCGCTGAGTACTGAGCGAGCCGCATACGTATGATAGAATCAACATATTGACCCGCGCCTATTCTATGATACGAATGCGCCTTGTTGTCTGGTGTAGGCTATTATAGTCAGTGCTGTGTAGGTGTTTTCACTCCCGCACGCAAGGCCGGTGGCGGGTGATAGAAGCAAGACGAAGACGAAAGCCGATGGAGGGTCCAAGGCGTGCCAAGACTCATTTCCAGCCCCGCTCGGTATCTTGATAGAATCAAGTTCTCGCGATCGTCAGTCCGAGCTCGATTCGCTACTGACTAAGGACTCACGAGGAAAAATGAAGTCCCAGCTCCTTCTACATAGCTTGGGAGAATCAAACCCCATGCAGTTGATGTTTGGGTAGTGGGTGAACAACAAGACGATGGTACAAGTCATCCAGCAGTTCACTCACTACCCAAGATTACTTGGAAACATCCATCCTCTGAGTTTTTGCCAGTTTAATTGTTTCTTGGACTCTATCGTCGTGATCATGATCCAGCGGTGTCTGTTAAAAGTCAACGTGCGATTGGATGCAATACTTGTGTGATAAGTATCCCATAGATTCTGAATCATGCATGACAGTTGTATGATACGATGGGGTTGCTCCAGGACTTGCGTCCGTCACCACCGTTCTGAAAAGGGAGTAAGAAACTGAATGTTCAGTATCTGAGTCTTGACCCGCGGTGAGATATCATACGAATGCGCCTCGTAACTGGTAGATCGGCGTTCCTGCCTGGAATGGATGCAATTTGAATTTTGCTCGGTGCTAGAGTACATGGTTTTCTACTCCCACGCGGTGATGGAAGCCGATGGTGGGTGATAGAAGTACGAACGAACGAAGAGGAAGAGAAAGCCAGATCAAGGTCGTTGACTCGGGTCCAAGGTGTCTTGTGAGTCATGGCCGACTTGTATGCGCCCCCTTCTACGCCCGAGAATCCATACCATGGCAATTGTCATTTGAGGTCAATTTGCTATTGAGGAGGTCGCCGAGAAACAGGTTTTCCGATTCCTCATTGAGAAACTTGGACTCGACTACCTAGGCTGGGCACGAATTGCATAGTCTCGATAACCAGCTGGCAGCCCGGTGAAAGGCAGGAGTGCGCCATGTGGTAAAACTTGAGTCCGCCAATAACCTTGCAATGGTGTGAGTGATCCACCGCCGAAGAGTCCTACTGGTGCTGGAGAGGTTAGGTCAAGTTGCATAAAACCGAACAAAGGCAGCTCTGAGCGCAAGTCACGGTTATTAGTCAGCGAGGATTGCGAGGGCCTGCGGCAGTGCGGCAAGGGCACTACGCGTTCAGCTACAAAGCACTTTCAGACCATGAACTCATTCAGCTGGTAAACCGTCGATTCCAAATGATTGGACTACTAGCCTCGACAGGTCGTAGAGGGCTCACTAACTCAAATCCATGCATCGCTCTCCTCCACCACACGCCATATTTTCAGCGAGGTTATGCCCTTTCTCGATTTCCTAACCAAAGGACCGGTTTTGGAAGGGCTCCGAGTTCAGGACGCAAACCCACCCAAGGAACCGTGTCGTCCGCTCAGGATGAGACATATGATTCCACATCATTGCGATTTACATACGAGTCACGGTCCTCTGCGGATGATTCGCAGCTTTGGGATGCGAGTCAGAGAACGCCCTCCAGTAACCCAGGGGAAGGTTTGAAGCACCTGTTACTAAATAATAATACGTTGGTGATAACAAGGTGTGTTAACCACATAGATGACCGTCGGACTAATTTTTCATGATTGTAGGAAGCTTGAGATGCTGAGCATATTCATGGGTTTTGAACAGTCAAATCGATATACTATTTGTACGTGATGCTCGAGTCTTATTGTCCATTATCCATCATCAACGTTTGTTCTCGATTAGCGAACGAAGCTGGTGAACCGCTTGGTTACATTGCTGAAGAGCCACGAGGCGTCCTGTCGATGTTTGCCAGACAGATCTTCCGCACCCATCGTCCGTTTCGTGCTCTAGTCATGGACCTCCACGGATCACCTATTCTCTGGGTGCGGTCCATAGCACTCCCTCCCCAGTCATAATAAATTCATTCATCCAACCCCGCAGATTCGCCGTCCATTCGCCTGGATAAACTCACGCATGTTCGTTCAACGATTAAAAGACCTTCACGAGTATACACCAGAAGGAGAACCTGTTCTAGATACCTTCGCAGAAGTCCAACAGGAATGGCATCTTTGGCGAAGACGATACCATCTCTTTCTTCGGTAATGCAACGCATCCGCTTGTTTTGTTTTGTCAGTACCGACTCCCGAGACTTGTGTCGCAGTGATCAGCCTAGGCGCATTCTTTCTACCGCCTCGGAGCCCCAGCCTGAGCCTCCGATAGATTCATTCACCCAATTCGCAAAGATCGATGAGGGGCTCTGGGCGTGGCACTTTAACATGCTTGATGCGCGTGGGACACCTATTGCGTCAGTCAACAGGGCATTCCGCGGCTTTGGGAGAGAGGTAAGTTAGATGCCCATATCCTTCTCTGCACAATATCGTTCAGGAGCTCAACGGTTTCGCAGATTTTCACTGATACAGGTTCTGAACATGCCATGTCCTGGGATGCCAATCTTACTGATATGATGGGGACGTGTTGCGGTTGATAGGACAATATTTCGTGACTTTTGACGCCACGCACCAAGACGGATCCGAGACGCCGGAGCGGCCCACGGTGATCAGGAATCTCACTCTTGACGAGCGTGCGGTAAATATATCTTGGTTGTTTCATCATTGTCATTTTTCTGATTCTTTTCTTTTACGCGGCTACAGCTCGTGCTTGCGGCAGCAGGTCAGTCGCTCGAGTATTTTGATGGAGTTGGATACTGATTTCTGGCAGTTAACATCGATTATGATTATTTCTCGAGACATTCGGAGGGTCATGGATTGGGGTTCCCGATGTTGTGGAGTTCGGGGGAATGAAGGTATTCGGTCACTTTATTGCATTGCTTTATCATAGAACAAGTATCGAAGGAATTGCAGTAATTCAGTTCAGCACCCTTCCCTACGCACTCACCATGTTCTGTCTTAGTTCTGGAGGCTAACAAGAACGAGCGACAAGCGTGCTCAACGTTTCTGTTGCGATGAATGCGGAATTCTTGCAAATCGTTCGTAGTACTCAGTTGTAGCCTTAATACATGAGTGAAGTGAACTCCATTACATCGACTAGTTGGATTCATAACAATGTCATCTGCAGCTTCGCATTTAAAGTGCCCTCGTCATCTACATATTCCGTATTACTACGACAGCACAATGAGAAGTGTGAGAAATGCCTCCTCGATTAATAAACAAACTTACTTGTACAATACCCAATTGCCCACCTCATTCTCTAGGGACCAAACCATTTTTGGAGGGGGCTTGCATGATTCAATGCCCTCGGGGGTTCTATAGTAGTCATTGGCCAACGTAAAGACAAGGAATGAAGTTCATTGTGGACATAAGACAATCAGCACACCAGAATCCATGGAGTCACAACAAATTCAACCTACCGCCGGGGTGCAAGGGCCACACATTTTGTGGAGTCTTTCGATGACAATAAAACTTTCAGCGCTTCATGTGGGGCTGCATGACCAGGTTTCCGGCTATGTGCCTCGATCAAAAGTACAGCCTTAAAACACGCTTGATAGCTATGCTGACTGAGACCAATACCGGCGCGGCATGATCCATTGCTAGGCTCTGGTATGTAGAAGCGAAGCCACCATATGCGTCCTGCAAGGGATGCCATCAGATCAATGACGGAACAAAGCGAGAGACTTGGACCACACACCTCCTGCGACAAATTCGAAGCGCAGACTTTTGTCAGTAGCAGTGCGCAGGCGTTTCTGGAACATCCTGATTCGAAGAACAACATCGAACTGGTTGATGGGTTTGTCGCATGTATGTACCTGGATTTCACCTGGTAGACATCCTAAAAGCATCTCGAACGCCTGTCTTCACTTACTAGTATCCAAATCAGTGGTTTTCTGGTGGACATTGCTGTGTACTACTTACAGTTTCCAAAATTGAGCTCCGTAAACATTGTGTGGTCGTTGGTTATCATGCAAGCAATGCGCAAGTCGGAAGAAACAGAGGGACTCGTGCCGGAAATGAACTTTATAAATGTCCAAAGAGCTTGTGGTCGATCGTTCACAATTGCCCAATACAGTGCTGTGTGGCCCTCGATATTGAGTTGTGTCAGGATATTGGAGAACTCGGTAGCTGGGAGAGCGGCAGCGCAGGCATTGACATTTGGAACCACAGAAGAAGGGGTGAAGTCAGGGGCTAAGACGATGTCACGGATGCGGGATAGAACAGCTGTACGTTTTTTCTTCATGAGACCAAAGGAAAATATAGATGATTGATCGCATTGAATGGGACTTGCTAAGATTGTGTCATACGAAGGAGGTGTACTGCTGTCATCAGCGACTTTGGAATCGGTAGCCATTGATGTTGTGGTAGAAAGATTGAAATAGGGGGTCAAATACGATATCGAATGTGTTGCCAAAGTCGGATGTGAATTTGGTCTTTCTTACTCTCGTAGGGTCCCGCTGCATGTAGAGGCCAGGAGGGAGTGCTAGTGCAGCTCGTTGGGTCAAACAGGACATCTGAAGGCTTATGGGGGGGGGGGGGGGGTAAGGTGGTTGAGTGGGATCACCGGGGCCGAACATATGCGTAATATGGAACGACTCGGACATCCAGTTCCTTCCCTACGCACTCACCATGATCCGTCTTAGTTCCTGGAGGCCAACAAGAACGAACAACAAGCGTGCTCAACGTTTGTGTTGCGAGGAATGCGGAATTCCCTCGTAATGGCACTACTCTATTCCCCGACACCCACTTTAGTGGGGAGAGGGTTCTGTAGAAAATAAATGTCATACCGTCTGTCATTTGATGCGTGGAAAATTCTTTCCGCTGGCCGATAATCAAGCCGATGGTCATATGATCCTCGGACCTCGGAGCTCCTACTATGGAGCTGCTTGCATCAGCCTGAACGCACGATATTCTCTGGTTACTCTTCGAGTCACGTCTTCAATACGACGGACTAACCCTTGAGCTTGATGCTTCATTCCACTTCTTTTTCATGCTTTCCCTGTTGACGGCACGGAGGGACCGTGGCGCACTGGACGTTTTTTTCTGATGGCTTGATGTGACTCTTCCAAGGCTCGTCTTCAAGAATCAACACGACCGACTACCTTCATTGTGATTTCACCCTCTATGGTGTAAGGCTGTGTGAACGCGAATCCGAATTCTGTACAAGATGTGTCGGGGACTGGCGCGGCCGAGCGCCGTTACGATGTGATACTGATACATACTTTATTGTGAGTGAAATGAGTTCCATTACATTGATTGGCTGTCACCATTGGATTTATAACAATGTTATCTCCAGCTTCGCATGTAGGGTACCCTCGTGTTCTACATATTATGGCTTGATACAACGACACAATGACAGTCGGTTCGAGTAATCAAGGAGAAGTTTGAGAAATGCCTCCTCACAGACTTGTGCAGTAACTTCCAGATCAAGTCATTGGTCCAGGTAATCTCGGGTATAGCGATTCCGCTGTCCTTCTTCTTCCTTCCAATGGGGGGTCGTGTGCGGTGTGCGAAGTGCGCACCTACCTTTGAGCGTCCCTAATTTGAAGTTCTTTAAGTGGCAACGGATACGTGTCAAGCCTGTCAGCTCATGAAAGGTGTCATAGATATCTGCGAAACTCATACAAGTATCACTATTGACATGTCCTTACTTCAGCACACCGGTCCATCAACGTTTTACACGGAATTAGCAGAGTTACCCCTTCCTGTGTCTGCTGATTTCGTTGGTGGCGATGGTGCGTCTACTAGTCAATATAGCCAGAAATCGATAACAGACACCCGAACAGTTCCACGCGTCACTTACACCATTCGCGATCATGAGCGTAATATCACACGATCCCTCACCAGAACTTTCCCTGGGGGCATCGGTTCTGATCATCAGACAACATCCCATGATTCCTCCGAAGTTAAGGCATTTAGAACATCTCCTTCCAAGTCTCGTCAGGCTGTCCTGCGAGAGGTTGCTGGTGGCACAAGTACGAAACGTTTCGTCGAAATCTGGGCTGGCATCCAGATAGAGGCTTCCTTGGATGTTACAAAGTACCACGATGCTTTCCATACAGATGGTGAGTCAAATAACCTGCGAATGTCCTTGAATACTTGCAAATTGGATGTCAGATTTCACATCATCGCTCTCCTTCTCCCCATCGGAAACATCCCTTCTATATACCGCCGAAGCAATCATCGCCGATGATAATGCTTCGGAAGATCCTTATCCCAAATTCAGATACACTCCGCACTTTGGCGAACTATCTCGCGGCAAGAAAGCACCGACCATTTTTCTATTCCGCTGGACAAGGTCCACAGCCTTCACCAAGGCTACTAAGCAAGATATATTACTCGTTGCCCTTTCGCTGGCACAGCCTACCCAACCACCTATCCTGTTTGGCCAAGCTACTTTTGCGACAGAAGATATCATCTACACCAGTGGACACGAACACACCAAAGACGGTCGACTACTGGGGGTTAAATGGTGCTTCAATCGCCCCATGGGTATATGGGAGATTAAACTCCCCGAGTCAGCGACCGTGCAGGGGACACCTTTTGGTGCTAAAATGTCATGCAACGCATTGAAGCTGACACCGTCAGAACGTTCTTGTCGTTCACCTCGTGTATTATATGATGACAATCAGACACCTACTAAACTCTTCTGGTTCTCGAATCCTGTCGGCGGTCCCCACGCATCTTGCGTGTCTCTGGAATCTCGTGATCTAACTACAGGTACCAACAAGGTCCTCGTGGATACCGTAATGGAGCCTACCCCCGAAAACGATTTTCCAGGTCTATATCCCAATTATAACATGCCCTCCAGCCCGTTTTTACGTCGCGGAGACCATACATACATCGTACTCCACTCCTTATGGCGCTCTCGTGCGACGATCCTCTTCATTGATACAGAATCGGGAGCAATTTCAGACGAGACAAAAATGCGAGATGGCGAACCTTTGTATAATTGGGATTTACATGCTACAGACGACAACACGCACTTCATCTGTTCAAGAAGCACGCCTATTACCCCACACGAAGTGTTACTAGGATACTTTGACGAACACGACAACCTCAATTGGAAAGTTCTAGATAAGCCAATGATATCTTTCGCAAGTAAGTTCAAGTCAATTTGGATTCTTGCCCAGTCTAATCACGCCTTTCAGCTGAGAACGCACTCCGTGATCTCACTGCATCGATCATACCCATTGGCGCGCGTCCTCCAACAGAGACTATTATAATTCAGTCGAAGAAAGCTTCCACAAGACCTGGCCCAAAACCCATCTGCATTACCATTCCACATGGAGGACCACATACATCAACGACAACATCATTCTACCCAGCTACTGCTGCACTAGCCTTGGAAGGATGTAAGTCTTTTTGAGAGTCGCGCCTACTGGCCACTTAAAGCAAGCATGCTCGCAGATACAATTTCCCTTCCCAACTATACCGGTTCCATGGGATTTGGCGAAAAGTACATCCAAAAACTTGTTGGGCACTGTGGAACAATGGAAGTACAAGACGTCGTAGAGAGCGTCAACGAGCTCATCCAGCTGGGCATCTCAGAGCACGGACGACAAGTCGTTCAAGGTGCAAGCTACGGCGGTTTCCTCGCCGCGCACCGTAAGACTCCATTTCAAAAACAACACTCTTTTTCCCACTGACACTGACATACACAGTGATCGGCCAATACCCAACCCTATTTAACGCAGCAGTGATGCGCAACCCCATAACCAGTTTTGGCGAACTAGCGTCCGACATCCTCGACTGCGCTTACACTGAATTCGGGCTCCAATTTACTCCGGACTCGCTCATGACACCCGCCACATTCCAAAAAATGTTCGAAGCGTCGCCTATCGCGCACGTCGATAATGTACGCGCGCCTGTATTGTTGTTGATTGGAGAAGACGACTTGCGTGTGGTACCGGCACAGGGGTTGAGATTTTATCATGCGCTCAAGGGCAGGGAAAGGAGAGTGGAGATGTTGTGGTTTAAGGGGGAGATGCATTTACTCGATGGTATAGAGGCGGCAAGAGTTTCATTGGAGGCTGGGAGGGATTGGTTTAAGAATTTGGGGCAAAACCCAGCTGACTGATGATGTGGAGGATTTGAATGCTGCTGCTATGTGGCCAACGTGTGAGATGCGGGACGTGAGCAAGGAGGATATGTTTGCGTAGTGTTCAGGCTGGAAAGTGCTCCGCGTGTTCACTCCATTCTGTATACAGTATTAGTTCGTACCAGCAGTGTTATATTCACCCAACCTCGAGATATGTTTCTTATTTTTCTGCGCCCCAGAGCGTCTGAGCGAAGTGATGCGTCGAGGTACTCCTGGGCGGTTAGCAAAACTAGAAGTGCTCTAAACATCGAGATTGTCATGAAAGCCACAATGTCGATCGCCTAGTTCACTCGACATCTCATTCACAAAGCATTTTAATTCTTTCGACAAGACAGCGTGATCATGACCATTAATTGTATCACTCCTTCAGGACCTCCTGCACATGTCATGCTAACTGTTCCATCACTGGCGAAAGCAAGCACATCGGCAACTTAGACCCGGAAGACAACGAGACAAGACAGGCTCACTAATTGTGTCCTTCTCCTTAGGGGAAATGTGTGTGCAGAAGACTACTGGCTGTTTCTTGACCGAGTTTTGCAGTGGGTCTATCGTCTCGACATCTTCGGGGTATATTTGGAAGGACGCTATCAGATTATGGAGTGATGATCGGTGTCGGGAGATGTTTTGATGTTTGACAATATGTTTCAGGTACGGGTGGAGAGGGTGGCGTTGGGGCAGGGTAGCGAGAGCGCGATGGCAGGTTTTCTGAAGGAGCCTCGGAGGAGGGGGGTGCACGATGTATTTGCGCATGGTCAGCTATGCACTGCACTCTCGAGAGTGCGAAATCATCGCGAAAATCTTTATTGCCGTAACGAATCAAGATGGACCGTCCACAGGCGAGCGGACTGCTATACAGTAAAGGTGGATGCGGGTCACACATCGTGGGATGTAGGAATGGTGTCTATGAAAATGTCTGCCGGTATGGATAATATGGTGAGCAGAACGTTAAAGACGACGCAAAAAAATAGCAGTCCAACACTAGTAGTCTGTTCCCAAATTGTAATTGTGAGGGTGACCATCATAGATAGACTCGCGAAGACGTTGAACAGGATGCCGACAGATAGGAGTAAGAGAGGGAATGCAGGTCGGATTGTTGGTTCAGGTGAAAAAAGACGCTAAGGGACATAGGCATTAGGGAATTAACTCGAAAATGATACTTTGACTTACTTGAATCTGTTGTGAAGAAATGCCCCGTATCCTGGGGATGGTGCAGATGCTGTGAACGAGTCAGCCAGATGACAAAATTGACAAGAAGGCCGTTACTATGAGCGCCTTGTAGGAGGCAGTAGACGTCAAAGCGTGCTGCGTGATATGTGCTGTTGCTATGAAGAGGATGGAGCTGGATAGGATGATCGCCGGCAATGTGAGGTGCATCCTCAACCGCGTTTCCGCCTGCACAAGAAAACCCTCCCAGCGGTCCTGAGGTCGCAACTCGAGTCCCAATGGTAGCAAGACTCCCAGAGCTGATCTTGTGACCAAACGTATGAAGGTTTTATTGAAGGCTGAAGTGGGTTGTGCTTTGGTGGCTTTCTCGACATCGTGCTCCTTCCTCTTGACCTCGGCTTCCTCCCTCTTGACCTTGGGCTCCTGCCTCTTGACCTCGGCCTCCTCCCTCTTGGCCTCGGCGTTTGTCTCTAGTACGTCTTCAACAGGTTTCTCGTTGCCTTTCCACTTCTTAACGGAGGTGTTGCTGGTGGACGGCAGTGACTCGGACGCTGACATGGTGGTAGATGGATACATTTTTGTAGGGTGTGTGGGCACGGCGGGCAACGTGAAAATGGCGGGAGAGGGGAGAGTTTGATGCGGTGGGATGGCAGGAGGCTAACACTAGATTATGACATAATACGGCGGATCCAGAATCCGTGATTGAAATACAGTCGACTCCCCCCTAATGCATACCTCCCCAGAGATATAGCTTATTAGGGAGTATGAAGAGCAAAAGCCCTGCAAAATAACTTGGGAAATCCAAAAATGTAGGGAGTCCCCGATCAGCGACTTGAGCCATTGATGTTGATTGAAATAGGCCTGGGGTCAAATACCATATCAAATGTGTTGCCAAAGTCGGATATGAATAATCGTCTTCGTAGGGTCCCGCTGCATGTAGAGGCCAGGAGCTCGAGGAGTACCAATGCAGCTCGTTGGTCAAATGGGACATCTCGAATTTATCATGAAGGCTTATGGGAGTGAGATCACCGGGGCCGAATATATACGGAATATGGAACGACTCGGAACAGAAATTGGATCCGAGCAGATTTACATCGCCACCCATACGAGGCACGAGGCACATAACCCGAAGGCTAAGAATTCCACGACCTTTTTAACCCACGGACAGAATGGTGCAGTGGGAACGCAATACAAACTTCCCCAAGTGCGACAACAGTGACACAGCAAATGCAAGGTGCACCGATCCCGCTTGACGTCGAAAGTTACCCCGTCACACCAGAAGGGTTGAACTTAGAGCAAGTCCACATATACGTGAGGCATGGTGCGTCGAGTTCGCGTTCGCGGTCATGACATCGCTCATACATACTCTACTCTAGGCGAACGTACGCCAGTCAGAGTGCGCATGTCGGATCCTCCAGCATCCATACCAGCAGACTGGCAGATGTGCAACACTGCGAAAAGCTTTCACGAGACTGTAGCTGGACATATCCCTACCGTAGATGACGGATTGTGGTATAGGAAAGTTGTCGAGAACAGGCATGGCAAAACAGCTGAGGGATTATGGTACGTTGATCTGCATGTATGGTTGCTCGCGATACACATGGTTTAATACGGTATATAGCCTCCTGGGGGAGCTCACTGATATTGGGAAAAAGGTGAGAGGGTTTTATGCGACACCTGATTGCTTGGCTTACGCGTCTGAGAACAGTCCACATATTCCTTCGGGACGGCATTGCGAAGCCTTTATGTAGATAGGTAAGCATTCGAGTGCTTTCTTGCAAAATTTATCTTACTCCTATCTTTCCGAAGATTGAAATTTCTCCCCCAAAAACTCGAGGATGAGCGTTTGACTTACTTCCGGTGAATCTATTCACCATCCCTTTGTGACTCGTCATAAAACTCACACGCGCAGCTCTACGAACATCGCACGGACGATCGAATCTCTGCAGCACATAGTCCACGGAGTGTACCCTCCATCTACTTGCGCTCCAGGTACGATACCCTCTATCATCATACGGTACGTTTTCGCATAGGTTAGAGAATTTAAACGCACACTCATTACTCGCGGTGTCTTTGCTTTCAGTAATGCAATCGACGAGAATCTCGTCAGCAATACCTTAGCCTGCAAGCGACTGGCCCTCTTAGAATTGAAGTTTGCTGAAGGTAATCTTTTGACCAGTATTCTGCAGATTAGTCTGATATGTTCCAGTTGCTGTTGCTGTTTGGAACCCGCGTTTAAAGCCATTGGATGTGAAAGTCTCCAAGTACATAGGCGGTAGGCCGTTACGCCTTGATGGAACTCCTCGAGCTTCGGGGATTCTTGATACAGTATGTTTTTTAGGGCAGGACAGACGCAGCTGAACTCAGTTCTTTTCCAAAGGTACGCTCCGCAGCTGCTCACGGTTTCCGAGTTCCACCAGAATTCATGGATAGTGATGTTATTGGTTTAATTGTGCGATCATTTCATCCTCTCATCGCATTATTCGCTCACTTATGAATCCCTAGGAATCAGCTGTAACAGCCGAGTGGTTCAACAGTAAGCCCCTAGTCAATTATTCTACATCCGCACACGAGCGTTAATCGTCGTCCTCTAGTTTGTAAGGATGCTTCCTTACGTTTTCACCGAAATTTCAACTCAAGTTCTTCTATTGATCATTAGTCAAATCAGAAGATGGCCGCCGACTAGGAATGGGTCGCCTCCTCGCCGACGCTTCAGAGAGAATGCGACGCAAGGCCCAGCGCGATACAACAGACCCCACTAAACTTCTCGTGCACTCGACGCACGACTCGACGCTTGCGGCGTTGCTCTGTACATTCGATGTATTCGATGACAAGTGCGTTTATCCCACTACTTCTTACTTTCATGCTCACCTTCGCGCGTGCAAGGTGGCCACCATTCACTTCATCAGTAACATTTGAGCTCTTCCGAAAACGAACTCCGGCTTCAGGCCTCCGCGCGCTTTCATCAGTTTGGAGACGACAGGACGAACATTGTGAGTATCAAGATGCGTTCTGAGAGATGATTCTCGGTAAACTTTGCCCCCTTCTTTGCTAAACATAGATGTCCGCATGCGTTACAAGAACAAGAACATGGTGCTTCCGATGTGCGCCGAGGAGGGGAAACATTTACCGGGCTCGCCAGAGTTTTGTACGTTGGAGGCATTTCAGCGGAGAGTGGAGGAGTTAACGCCTAGGGATTGGGCTGAAGAGTGTCGGACGTGAGCGTGGTACTAGCGCCATTGCTGGCTGGCATACCGTTTGGCATCTATTGATGCTTCTTCTAAATCTAAATCTTTAAAGCATATAAGCACGCATAACCGGCATGTTGTCCACCACGTCATGTCGTTGCATTCTCTTTCTTTATGAAGTATTTATATTTTTGGCAATAAATTGTATCCGTACTGTACCGTACATAGCCGTGGCACATCGATATCTTTGACTGGAATTCCGAAAATAGCAGGTAACAACACCCATTGGTCCCCGTGACGTAGGCAATGTTTTTAGATTTACATCCAACTTAGCTTTTGAGTCCTGACTCTACCCCAGTGATGCATAAAGCTTTACTTGTTCCCGAAGTCCTCCTGGAGATATTCGCCTATGTGAACACAGTACCATATACTCAAACAACATCGACCCTGAAATTGCTTGCAGCGCTTGCAAGGACATGCAAAATCTTCTACGAGCCTGCGATGGATTTGCTGTGGACTGAAATCCATGAGTTAGAACCACTGCTAGGCTGTGTAACAAGGTTACATCCATTGATATATCGTAGTGGTACAATGGTCAGTGCATGACTTCATTACACTTTGTTCTTTTCCTTTTGGCTCACCGAGCGTCTACATAATAGTGGGACGAGCCCTGGGCAAAAGATGTTGAGCCATTATCTGCCCACGAGGCCCATCAATTCCTGCGTCACTCCTCCCGTGTACGCACATTGAACATACAATCTCATCATCCGCACCTTCTCTCTGTCATCCCCGCCGAGGCATACGTATTTCCGAGGCTGAAGTCATTAAGTTTTTCCATCACATATTTGAACCTCTTTCTGCCTCGCATGCTGCACCGATGTCATCTATTGAGCGTTGATGAGGGTTTGCAATCTTTTGTGACACGTTGTATTGCTTTGGAGCATTTATGCATCCTCGCTCCCGGAATACGCGATGTTGACAACATAGCAAATGAGCTGTCCCTGCTATCCGATAGGATTCGTTGGTGCGCGCGGCTTGTAACTCTCTCTTGTCCGATGCTCGGCTGGGAAACATGGAAGCATCTCTCCCACCTCCCTACCCTTCTCAAATTGGAAATTGATCGAGGGTACGAGGACCCTCCTTCGCTATCAAACCGAGATATTGTGAACTTATCATTCCTTAACATCACGAGCCTTTCCTTTCGACAGCTGTACAATTCTGCAAACATCATCACAGTCATGCAACACTCGCAATTTCCCTCGCTGAAAGAGTTCAAGTTTCGAGCCAACTATCTGTCTCTTGAAGAGGCCGAGCAACTCTTCCATGCTCTGTCCCACTGCAAAGCGTGTCGGACTCTAGAAGAAATCATCATCTGTTGTCTTGAAGCCGAACTCCAATCCCACGAGTTTTTGACACCAACTCCGCATTTCCTTTGCTTTACACAGCTCCAAACCCTGCAGCTCATGTTTACTGATTTCTGCATCTCCCTAGACAATGACATGCTCTTGCAAGCTATGTCTATTTGGCCGCATATCCGCACTCTGGAAATCGACTACTTAGACGCCTATATTTTCTCTTCCGAGGTCACCCTCCATGGATTATTCACAGCGCTCAGTCTATGTCCACATTTGCATAGACTAAAAATTCCAATCAATATTGCAACTATCGACGTTGATCCTGATGCCGAGCCAATACAACATACCTCCCTACGATCATTGGAATTGGAGACATCATCTGAAATAGCAGATCCAGAAACTCTCGCTGGCATCATTTCCGCCTGGCTCCCTTGTATCTACCGAGTTCAAAACCTGGGTGTGGATTGGGATGAAGTCAACATGGATCTTAGATTTTTGAAAGTGGCTACTGCGCCGTATGGCACATATGGGAGCCTCCTAAAATAATTGAGTTTGGAATATCTTCACGTCCGGGAATGTTGTCACATACCTTCGAGTTCTTTCGTTCTTTCGTTATCGTTGTCGTATCTGTTGGCTGTAGTTATAAACCGCTGTACTAGTTAATCGAGATTCCGCGCGCTGGCCTTTGTTTGCCTCACTAGAGCACGAGATACCGCCGGCTCGGGGGCAATTGTGTCCACTACGTCATGCTGTGTCGCTGCATGTTCCTTTCTGTTTCATCAGGTAACTGACCTGCAGATGATAAACTCTTAGACAGCTATATCTGATTTAAAATTTGCGTAATATGTATCAAGATTATACCTCGCATGAAAAAGCTTTGCATACCTGGACTTAGTTGGATGAAACCCACCAACGGCTCAAAGGTGGCAGCCCATTTGCAATCACGTGCCAGCTTGCGACAGTATTGCAATACCTATCGACGGTGGCAAGGGACGATTGATATGTTCAGAGTGACCACTATTGCCTAGTTGAGGATCAGCGGCATTATCCTACAATTCTGCTCTGCACTGGAAATAGTATGCAACCTTTGACTGTTTTTATTCCATCTGCAATCTCTGAACAGATGCCAGCATTCGATAAAATTTTATATGGCTGGACTGTGCTGGACCAACACCACCTATTGTGCAAGGGCGCCGAGTGTCTACAACACAGTACCAATCCATATCAGTGTGATGATCATTTGTAAACCAAGTTTGTCATTGAATTTCCCACCAGAACTCCATTGGTGCTGACTTTAGGCAAGAGGTTGCAATGCTAGTCTGGCATCGTTCGGATCTGTTGAGCACACAATGCGGGCGACGAGCGGTAGTGTAGTACCATGTCATCCAACTTCTATGAGATATTACTACCATATGCAAAGCTAGGGAATTATTTCGTTGTCTGTAAACTCTCCCCAAATGCCGGAGGCAGTTAAAGCTTTTCAACTTTGGATTAGAGCTACCTGTAGTTCAATATTTCGGAACAATGATAGCGCGGTGTCCCCCGTCACCTAGATGCTGAAGTATGGCCATCGCATCTAAGGTGGGTGAGGCCGCATCTGTTCTCAGCAAACTCTATCTGACTCCGTTGTACCTGAATGAGTGCACCAATACTAGATTGCAATGCAGACAGCTGCGAAAGGTGCCCAGGCGCTGGTCATTGGTAACGTGGTTCCTTCTACCATCATACAGTCAATGTCTGATCATCTCATTCAATCTCAGCCTGTGATTTTCGCTCATCCAAACACGTGCAGAAATTTAGCAGCAGTTTTTGACTTAAAGATCTTGCTCGCATGGATCAATACTGTACACGAGAACATGATGCTTACAACACGACAATGACCTATAATTTAACAGCGGTATCAACTGAATTGAGCCAATGGTGTTGGGGCGTGGCTTGAGATCATTTGATTCAGTGGGTACGTTTGTTGCGAGAGCCAAAAACAGGCTGGTATTAGATTGCAATTTTATCTACTACATAGAACATGCTCAAATGAAGGCTATGAAGCGGCTACGTTCGAAATTGAGGATTGTTTCAAAGCAAGGCGTCTTTGTTGAATCTTTGACGACGCACTGTTGGCACTAATAGGGCGCTTGGCAGCCAAAGAAGTGGGAAATATTTGGCTGAGCACGTCAATATGAGCCTATCTGCAACACAATGAAGGTGATAACATACCGATTCCACCATGTCAATAGCTCGTGAACTTCCTTGGACTCTTCAGGATCTTCAAGGAGGTCAAGAAGACTGTGGTAAAAGGTCTCTGAATCTGTAGTCGTATCGGTCCTTGAGAACACCGAGGAGGAGCTCAGAGCAAACTGGACCTTCAGTCGTGTCAAAATTGTCTACATACAGGAGAATCGCACTCAACAAACTTGTGTTGTGATATAAGCAATGGAGGTGATAGTGACAGAGGTCATGCCATGGAGGTGGGCATTTCCGGATCGCGTAGCTTTCGGCTCCTTCTTGACTGAACTTGGAGACGTGAACACGTGTTTGTAAGCCTGGTGGAGTACCATACAGCAGAGAAACTTTGAAAAAGATGACACCCACATAGACAAGTAAACGGCTTCTAAGAAGGCCGCTCCACGGATCTTCAGTGTCGTAAGTATAGTGGGCATATAAAAAAATGGGCCATTGATCGCCGCAGACCCATAGTTCGCCACTTCGTAGGTTCATTTTGGTCCTATCCGCAAAGTGCGAAAATAATTAGTAGACCGAGTATGCGTTTAATCAGAACATATTGTAAGTTGTTCCAATCCAATCCCACAGGACAAAGTAGAAACCCTGTAAGTTCGTGATTAAATCCACGATCGACCTTCGAGTTCCTATGTAGAGGAGGCTGGATAGCTTCTCCTTTCGGAGTGATCCAATCAAGGACCGCAGACTTCAATGTTTTCGTGTCATCACCTCTGGCGCCAGCAGCTCCCTTACCGATCTATAAATCATAAGTAAGAACTCTGACCATGAAAAAAAGCGATGTACCAGTTCTCCAACGTGAAGAATCTCCTCCTCAGACCCGTTTTTTAATCGTTCCAGAAGACCTGGATAAGATTCCAAAAGCTGCTCGAAGACACGATGTTCCCGCCGCTCTCTAACAATACGTCACAGTCAACGAGGGGATAGAAATATAAGTATTCTTTTACTCAGCAGGGAAGTTTTCCAGCAGTGTATTTTCCATTTGTTCCAATCTCAGAATACCATTGGTGAGGAGGAATAGGTAATTGCACAGCGCAAACACTGTCCGACCAAAGTGCCGTCCGTGTGAGACAAGCGGATCAGTTGTTGAGCTAATTGACAGAATGAGTGAAGCGAAACCAGTGGTGAATGTTGGAGACAGCTTATGCTTTTTTTCTGGGCGCCATTTGGAGGGCTGACGAGCCGTGTCTCCTTGAAACGCTAGAAGTGGCGTCATCTGCAGTCATGAGTGCTAGAGAGCAATAAAAGGTAGTCCATGTATTGCCAATCTGAAACTAGCTTTTTATTCACAGCCTACTGTAAGTGATATATATAGGGAACCTACCAGAGGCAAACACCAGTGATGGACTGGCAGGCTGTGCCAGTAAGTGACTGGCAGGCTGCGCCAGTGGGTGACGGATATGCACAACTGACGCCGAAAGATCAGCCTGGTTGCATTTTTTTTTTTGGAGGAGGCTTTGAGGAGAACCGAGAGAGTGCGGTATATTATCGTAAGAGATAAAAGCTTGACATGGTCCTTCTTGCTCTAGCCTCTAGCTCGCCAAAATGCAACAATCCTTGGGTCCGAATTTCAAGCTGCAAGGTCATGACACTAACTTGAACTTACCGTAAGTGTCAAGTTGATGTGACTCACCATTTGCGAATGGGATCGCTGACTTGAATGCCCTACCCTTTGTTAGGAATGAGATAGCGGGTAACACTGATGGAAGAGAGGAGGAAGTCGCCAATCATGGTGTAAGGTTCATTGATGCGATCATTAATCATCTCAAAGGCTCATTATTGGCCAGCGATGTAGTTTACGACAACTGCCACCCGAATCAGACTCCCTTCCTGCCGGTAAGAGAGCATGAGACAAGCGAGGAGGTGTCGATGGCTAGCCTCAAAGAGCGACTGCAATGTGCGGAATTAGGTTGTTTGATGTTGGGAGAACTATGTCAAAAGTACAGAGTTCGTTGGTTAGAGCAAAATTACCGGGCAATGGTATTGGAAGAGTACGCACCACCTGGGATTGATACTTGTTCTCCACATCAGATGATGTGGGATACACCTTCTCCTATCCAAAGTAAATCCAATTTGTTCTCACCTCCAATAACTTCTGATCATCCTATTCAGGCGATGTCGAAGATGAATGGGATGCAGAAACATCATAGCAATGTGTTCCCATGGAAATCCATGGTAGCGTGGCACTGGCAGGTGAAGTGAACTTGTGAGCCCTGAGGCCTGGACAATTAGCTGCATGATAATAGATGTTGAAAAGACACAGACCTAGATTTGAATGAGACTACTAGTAATAAGTAAGGGCGACATCAAGGCGACGTAATCGTAATCAGTAGTAGAACAAATGATCCAAATTTTGGCCTCAGACCCTCCGATTAAGAGTTTAGGTATACTGTTTTACACGGTTGGTACTACTGCTAGCATTAACCAATATATCAGTCATAAATATGTGTAAAGATTGGAGCCACCACTACGACCAGGTAAATGATGCCATCGCTAAACCTCGAAGGCCTCAGAGTCCTCCCGATCATTGTCTATGTCATGGTCATAGGAACACATTTCGTCTGCGAGAGGTGGTGGAATACATCGTTTGGAAGACGGCGATGCGCCTGTGTAGATATCAGTTGGTGAGTAACTCGTGATCAAATCACGCCAACGAGTATCATCACGCAAGTCTGAGTTTGATTCATGGGCCTTTCCAATAGCTACTGAATAAAGGTATGTCTCGGCTTGAGCACGGCACATCTTTGCCTTCAAGGTACCCAATTCCAACCCAATGTTGCGGGGGCAAGTAGGACCAGGAAGTGGCCATGACAGTAACTCTGTCTGACAGGCTTGTTCTGCATGCAATGCACTGTAGAACACCTCTCGGACATCGTCGGTGACCCATGTGCTCAACAGGGGTAATAAGGATCCGACACACTTCAAGGTACCAGTGAGAACAGACAACATGAAATTAACTGCAATACTAACATTGGAAATGGTGGATGTGTGCCCATCTCTGTGTGAAGTAGTGAATTCGAAAGCTGGATTCGGGGTAAAGCAATCCAGAAAAGAGCAAATGTTCATCGAAGGTTCCACATCTGCGAGAGGGTAGGCATCTCATCTCTTCAACCAAGCTTCGCATTTTTCACGTGTAGCTGCTGAACAAGTTAAAGGTAGGTGGGAATAAGCGTGTCTCAAGGTTGAAGTAGAGCTGGTGCCATGACGAAGTGAACATGGCTTATGATGAACTGCTTGTAGCGATATGGTTCAGACTACTGAAATCATGCATCAAAGCTGGAGGAGCTCACGAATCCAGTTCTGTTGCAAATGTTCGATGGCCCGGCTATACAAAGACACTTCCATTTGACTTCGTTTCTTTCTCTCCTCCATGAGATGGTGCTCCAGCACCACATGCCTTTTCCCCCTCGGCTCATCCGCACAGATACTCTGGTGCTGTCGTAGTATTTCCTCTTGCTTCGCTTCTATGGTGCGTTCCCCGATGATTTCCCAAATATCGCCAGTGTAGACCCGATCTTTCAGTAAAAACGAAAGAACCCTTAAATCAGCCTGGAGCTTTACAAAACGGTCAGGAAGTGAAGTTGAATGTGAAATTGTCGCTCAACTCGCCTTGTCATTTGCTATGAGTCCTATGTAAGCGTCCAGGAGTCCAATGCCTAGTAAGTTTGAAATTTTCAAAATGTCTATACGAACAGTCGAGTCATCGAACGGCTGCAAAGTTGAATTTGTAAGATAGGTTGACATTGTGGGGAAAAATGTAGGTAGATAATCAGGTCAGTATCCAAGCTATTTGTAGCGGAGACCAAATCCCAATGAGGTACTGGATCTTATCTTCATTCTACATAAAGTAAATGCGAAGCTGGCGAACAACGCCAGCAAATATGATCTGGTATAAAGGAGGAATGATTACCATCAGGCCCGAGGCGATAAGTATCTGTACCAGTCGCAGAGGCCCGAAAAAATAAACTGTCTGCATACCAGGCGTCAATAGTAGCAAAAGTCAGAGAAGGAAATCCACCTGCATTGGAGGTGATTTCCACTCACATCAATTACAAGAATGGGACTGGATGACCTGAATAAGACTGCAGATTGAGCCAATCAGCTTCAAGATGTAACTGATTGTTACTACATCAGGAAAACCCCAACTTACTTAATCTTGCTTAATCAACTTAGCCACATTTGTTTCCTCTCTCATGCATCATCTACCTAGTAAATTTTGTATTTTTTTAGTGTAACCTGTAACAAAATATGTATGCTAATATGACTGAACAACTTTTTCCCGAATATGTCAAATTTGAATTTCTAGCAAAGTAGGCTAAGTCACTAAGTACGACTTAAGTCTGTTTAAGGCAAGTTTAAGTAAGTTGGGGTTTTCCTGATGTACTTGCATTGTCTCTTCCGGCAAATAGTCCAACGGTCACACGCACACTCAATAGCTTTCTAACAATTCTCCTGTTTTATGATGATCAAATGCGGAGTGTACTTAATATATAACTCACCCTCTTCAAGTTCATCCATGGGCTGTGTGTTAACGCCCAGGTATACAACCTTGACAAGGAAAACTTGAGTGTTGATTATGGTCCTTGATCACTTTCATATTACACTTCACACAGCAGAGGGAAGAGAGACGTTAGTGGCATGCTGCCGTTGATCTGCGTTGATCTGGAGTCTGGACATTATTTTGATACTTTAGGCGGTGCAGAGACCAAAGTACAGACATTTGAACTCCGTGCTATATTTTTTCACTCCGCCTAAATTTTGAAAGTCGCAACATATTCGAATTCCCTGCTAGTACTGAGACTGATGATCGATTATGTAGTAATCTAAGTGGTTGAACTTGAATGTCTTCATCCCTTCTGCACTCCTGAACAGACATGGTGGTTCATCGCCGGCCTCAGTCCTACGTGTTTGCACTTTTTGCAACTTTTGAACAGGGTACGAAACTCTCCTGCACTAATTCCATCGTCAGTAGACGAGGTAAGTTTGTTTAACAAGTCCGTTTGCTCCTGTAAGGTTGTTTCATTTGGAATGCTAACGATTTCATTTACTTTGCAATCCATTAGTGAGACTGATGAAGCAGTGAAGCAAATCGTACCTCTTCGCGGGTACTGGAAGGCGGCCAAAGGCTCTCGCTGGAAGTGCGCGTTTGTTACAAGTAACATCGGTCACGTGGCCCCCCTATCATTTTCCCTTCATCCTCACCCTTACCATCTACCGGCTCGTCCTCCTTTACCGACTTTCCGTTGACTGGATCCTCGGGACCGTTCCCATCCCTCGCATCGCCCGCCTCTATGCACGTTGTAGAGACTCATGCCTCTCATTGTGCAATATGGCAGTTTTCACTGGGGAGTACATGGCACGAACTTGTAGCATCACTCTGTGTGCTACCTGCAGCTATCTCTATATGAGGCGCAGCTTTCCCGTGCAACGCGCGCCATGCACGCGTACCTTTCCCGCGCTTCACGATGTATATGTGCGCGCGCTTTCCCGCGCTGTAGCGCCCTATAGCGCCAGCCATCCAGAAGCATCCATCCACTGTCCACCAAGTTCCCTAGTGCGTATATTTCCATTTCTCACATTTGCATATCGTTCCATCTTTATTTTTATCATGGACCCTTACTTACATATATCTTTACATACCTTACTCGGTAGCGCTTCGGCTCCGCATGACAGCGCTTAGGCGCCATACTTAAGCGCCAGCAGTACATACACTGAAAAACTTACTCTCCCACCAGAACGACAGAGGACTTACTGGTTACTACCCACTATTCACCTAGCAGAACATAGTAGAAATCTATTTGTTTACACCTCGCATCTCCTTTCTCTTGTCTTACATCATATCATCACTTAAGCAAACTCACTCTTACTCTCTCTCGTATCTGTATACACGCGCACGCTTTCCCACGCTTCGCGCCATACACGCGCGCATTCCCGCGCCTTGCGCGCACCTGCGCTTTCTCATGCTTCGCATTGGCCAACCAGTAGCGCTTTCAGTGCATACCTCTAGATCCTTGCTGCACTCGCTTCCCCTTTAGGGTCGAATGCACTTGTCGTCTCAAGTATAGCAGACTAGGCAATGCATGACCTTACAACAATTATAGATACAGTCAGGAGCATTGTTCGTGCCTCGCTGTATCGTTGAACCTTCAACGTGCATGCACGTTCCTCCCTTGATTCGACCACCAATGTGGTCCCGCACCCATGACTCGGTCTGACTCGTGCCACCAATGTGGCTTTCCTCTTTCTGTTCCCTCTGACTGCAGATTCCCGCACATTGTATTCTTGCCGTTGGTTCGTTCCAACGTTTCTCGGTCTCATTCCATATTCGGACCACCCATCACTAATCCGGCTATGTTGCCAACGCACCTATACCATTCTCGTTTCCCCTTTACCCTTACCTACTGTGCAGGTAGCCTTGCCCTTAACCCTCTCCACTTAGTATAAGTAGTCGGTCACCCTGTACTAAATTCTCTAACTTGAATCTACTCAATCTTCCCTGGAACATACTTCTCTCTGAAGCTCCCTCAGCTTCAGTCTCTAGTATCTTTTCTTAGTTGCTCATCGCGACTAAGTCTACTTCGATCGACCTCATTGTTCGGACAAGACAGTCCTTACTTTGAGTGACTTCTCAGACATCCGTCTACAAAGTCACGTGACAGGCGCGTACTGTGATCGCTGCCGACTCGTCATCGCCAGTCTCACTTGCTATACCGGATCCTTCCGGTTACATCACGAACGTTAGCGGACGACGCCCCTCTTAGGGCTCCGCCTAACAGATCTATTTGAGTGCGTAACAGCATTCATCTTCACTGGGTGCTAAAGGTTAGTGTGATATCTTGTTGTGCAAGAAGGCCACTGACCTTGGTATCCGCATCTATACGATGCACACTTTACTGTCCAATAAGCTGTTCTCGCGCTTCTACTCCACCAAGTGCACATTGCCGCTTCAATGTATGCTTCTTTTCCTCCTTCATCTGCACACAAGCAGCATGGATATTTAAAATTGTATTATTGTCGGTGCTTCTCTAATCTGGATGGTGGAATCTTCTTCCCCTCGCCATCAGCTGGCCTGCGTCATTTTGCGCAAGTTATTGTTCTAAATTCGCACATTAATCGACGGACATCTCACCAGCACCATTCGACCATCAATTTTGAGGCACTGTCATAGTGAAACAGCGCGAAGCGGCAGCTCATGGCTTCTGCAATCATTTTTGCTAACCATCGAGCATTTTCATGACAGTCAGGTGGGGCAGTGATAGTGGAGGAAGGTGAAGATGGCGGTTCCATTGGGTCACTTGGTGCAGCAAGGATGAGATCTCCCCCTACTTATACGAGGCTTCAAGTTCGGTTTTTGGGCCATGTACATAAAACGTCATCACAAGCCTTTGGCGCTAGGCTATACTGGCGCCGTTGAATGTGGGAACTTGGGACTATGGATCTGATGGCAAGTCGGGCCAGATCTCGCTGGCTCAAAGCTTGTTCTGTATGGAAACACCAGTGAGCCCCTTCATTCCGATTCTTTAACATTGAGTTCAACTATAGAATTCCTTCAGGCCTCCCCATAATGGACCAGGTAGGATTATCATCCAGTCAAAATCCTTTCAGATGCACCTGCGCCCGTGAGTTTACACAGGAGAACACGTATACCAAACATCAATGTTCGTGCATGAAGGGCAAGAAACATTTGTTATCTGCTTTATCTACGGCCAAAAACCTCCTAGGCTCCGCAAAATGGGCTCGAGTTGATGAAAACGGTGGCAGACAGCCTTCTAATAATCCTTCAATGCCGTCCGCAATGTCTCCCCCCCCTGCAGCATTGCGTGCAGATTCTTCCTTGCACAACACACCCAACTCAGTATCTGATGTCGTTATCAGCCCGGTGCCCATGGAGATAGATGAGGGGTCATCCCTAGCGCAACGAAGGAGTCGACGTGTTGGCGTACCCATGCCACGATGCTATAGACAGCACAATGATGTACTTCCGCAACCTCCTCTGACTGTTCCCTGCAATCAGACTACCCAACAACCGGAATGTAATCCACCTGCAAGTTCCACCAATGTGTCTACCGTTCGTACATGTATACGGGATCCTCCTTTCTGTACAGCGAGAAATGTGTTCAGGCTAGTACACCAATTTTTCTCAGCAACTCCCCCATCTCATGACCCCAAGAAAGTCACAACTCTCCGAGATATCTGCTCCATTCCATCTGCTCATCCAACAGAACAGGAAGTCCCTGCTGAACCTCGCGACATCTCATTTGATCCCTACCCCAACCGGTCCTCTTTTGACCTCGGACATTGGTATTGGAATGGTAGTGCCCAGAAGTCACATCAGAGCTTCAAGGAACTGATAGACATCATCGGAAGTCCAGATTTTGACCCTCATGCTGTGCGAGCTACGCCATGGGATAAGATTAACTCGCAATTAGGTGTGAGCATTGATGAAGACGAAAGTGGCGAATGGGAGGATGCGGATGCGGGTTGGTGTAAAACACAAGTCACAATCAAAGTCCCTTTTTCTCATACCACAGCTCAGCCAAACGCTCGACCGTATGTCGCTACAGACCTTTACCATTGGTCTCTCGTTTCCGTTATTCGGGAAAAACTCGCAAATCCACAGGACAACGAACTTTTTCATTATGAGCCTTACCAACTTCGGTGGAGCGCCAACCATCTTCCACGTGAAGTAAATATTCAAGGCGAGTTATACACTTCTCCAGCATTTATGGATGCGCACTGAAAACTTCAGGGGTCACCTGCAGAGCCAGGATGCGATTTACCCCGGGTGGTTGTCGCACTCATGTTCTGGTCCGATGCTACACACCTGACAACTTTCAGCAACACGAAACTGTGGCCAATATATATGTATTTTGGGAATGAATTGAAGTATCGCCGGTGTAAACCATCGTGCAATCTAGGTAATCATGTGGCGTACTTTCAAAAGGTAAGGTCCCAAATTACTTTCTTATCCTGTAATGAAACTGATGTCTGGCAGCTTCCGGAATCATTCAAGGATTTCGTAGGTACTTACACCCATGGCAAAGGAGTTGGCCGGGAATGTACAACACATTGCCACCAGGAATTATTCAAGCTCAATGGAAGGTTTTACTCGATCCTGAGTTTTTACACGCATACGAACACGGCATTGTGATCCTCTGTTGTGACAGCATCAAATGTAGGTTTTACCCGTGAATATTCACCTATTCTGTGGATTACCCTGAGAAGTGAGTCATTGACATTATTTGTTCGATTTCGCAACTTATGAAAACCAGGGTACTTGTCGCAACTATCCGGCAGCTGGGAGGTTGTCCTTGCCCACGATGTGTCATACCAATGGGATGACTTAACAATTTAGGAATGTTTCGCGATAGGCAGCAGCGTACGACTCTTGCACGTTCTGATCACTCGAGGAGCCAGCTGGTTAAAACGGCACGCGGCTTCATCTACGAAAAGAATTACGGTGTTGACAGCACAGCTGTCGAGTCGCTTTTGAAGCCTGAATCATGGGTACCAACCTCTGTGAGCATGACCATCAACTTTTTGCTCGCTTTTACTAACACTTCATTAGAACACTTTTTCAGATTGCCTTGGTTCTTTTGGATTCAATGTGTTTGTCGCGCTCGTGGTGGATCTGCTGCACGAGTTTGAACTTGGAGTATGGCGTATACTTTTGATACACTTGCTAAGAATTCTTTGCACCTTCAACAAGGACCTGATCCATGAGCTTGATAAGAGGTGCACCAAATTTTTATCTTTCAGTATCACTTGATAAGCTAACAATCAATTGGCGTTGATAGGTACAGGCAGGTCCCCCCATTCGGCTCAGCGACCATCAGGAGATTCTCTGCAAACACTTCTGATATGTCCAACTTGGCTGCTCGTAACTTCGAAGACCTTTTACAAGTATGTATTCGGAAAACTCCCATGTCTTCGCCAACTAATTTTGTTTCAAGTGTTCAATCCCTGTTTTCGATGGTCTGCTTCCAGATCATCACAACAAAATTCTTATGGATCTTCTTTTCGTCATGGCCCACTGGCATGGATTGGCGAAACTTTGCATGCACTCCGACCTCACCCTAGAAATTCTCAACCAACAGACAACGGATCTTGGCGAACAATTTCGTGAGTTTAAAGCGAAAGTTTGCTCTGCATATCATACCCAAGAACTCGATCGTGAAGTCGACGCACGATCTCGTCGACAGGCAAAGGATGTGGCCAAACGGGTAGAGACAGGCAAGGTGAATAATGTCGGGCAAGTGACTGCGGCTCCACAATCTGAGCCAGGTGCCATCAGTAAAGGAAAAAGAAAAGCGAGTCTGGAGCAGTCCCAGGACATACCTGTGCCAAAGCAGCTGCGAAGGAAAAAGTCGTTTAATTTTCGAACTTACAAGTTTCACGCACTCGGAGATTACGTAGCCTCCATCCGTCATTTTGGAACAACGGATTCATACAGCACCGAACCAGTATGTCATGGCTCGCTGCTCTTCCTTACCCTGAATTAATTTCTTATTAGGGAGAACTAGAGCATCGTACGTCAAAAGGCAGATATTGTCGTACTGATCGAAAGGCCTTCGTTCGCCAGCTAACTCAGATCGAGTGTCGCCAGACACGTTTGCGCCGCATCAAGCAATGGCAACAACGAAAAGACTTCCATACAGAGGTGAATGAAATGACAAACGACCCCGAAGTACATCATTATATCGGCCAAAGCGAGAAGAATTATGATGATATTGGTCACTACCTCCGCAGCCACGCACATGACCCTGCTATGAAGGTAAGTGACTTCTCACTTGATAGACATTATTCTAAGCCGTGCCCCAGGACTTCTTTTCCCGATTAAAAGTCCATATTATTGATCGCCTCAATCCAGGGGGACAAGTCAGCTTGTCTCAACCAAGAACACTGACACCATTCTATTCAAACGTAACAGAATCTATCATCACAACATTGCCAAATTCAATTTTACTACTTACAATGTTAGGAGGGCGCAAGACATTGTCAATCCAAGGACGCCTCATTGCAACATTATGATGCTCAAACATCATGAGGATCAAACTGACAATAATGACAATTATTGTTATGCCAAAGTCCTCAGCATCCATCATGTCAATATTGTTCGTGTGGGGAACGTATATGAATCCCACCGATTGGAATTCCTTTTTGTTCGATGGTACGAATCCGTACGCATTCACTCATGGGAGACACATACCTCAGGCCGTGTTCGTTTCATGCCCCTGGCAGATGAGAATGCATTTGGCTTTGTAGACCCGGGTGTTGTTCTTCGGGCATGCCACATAATACCGGCCTTCTCCCATGGACAACGCGATCCCACGGAACACGGAATTTCTCCTCTTGCGAGAGATAAATACGATTGGCACAAGTTTTACATCAACAGGTAAGTATTCCTATTCGTTTTGGGTCATATTTACTGATAATTCAACTGTCTAGCTTTGTCGATCGAGACACGCTAATGTGCTTCCACTTTGGACTTGGAGTTGGGCATGTGTACTCCCACGACACAGAAAAATACCTTTGTTCAACTCAAGGGGCACCTCACCTTCCAACAATGCAAATGGGACATGGATATCCAGAAAGAGAAGAAGGCCTCTGGGACACCACCAACGGGGAAGCTCCTGACGATGGTGAGGAGGGTGAAGAGGGTGAGCATATTGCTGTCGAGGAGTTGAACCATTTTCAACAGGAGCAAAATGGAAGCACAGAGTCACTAATTGATGCTCTCGACGAAATGTTTAGTACTGACCATGCCTTTGATTACGAAAACTAGCCTAGCATACATTCAGTAATGTCACGATGGACACAAATCTGATTCTTCCTTCACAAGTCACACTCGTTGCTGGTGCCTTCAGCCAGCCTCGTTAATTTATCTATTATGGTCAGTATGCTATCATCAAATCCTGGCGCATTCAGCTGGCCATCAGTAATTTCTGGTGCATTATCAGTCATTCTGGCGCTGTCAGCTACCGAATTTAATTTTGTTAAGCGCGTAATTCAATCATTTCCGATTCCTGGTGCAGCCTTGATACCGATCTGGCCCATAGTGCGACCTTCACTTCAGTCATTTTGATCTCTAGCACAACCTTACTCCATTCTGCCTAGCTATCGTGATTTACCCATCTCAAGCGTCAAGCAGTTGGCTACAATCTCTACCATGCATCTGCCTATTTAAAACCGAGGAATTTCCTCGTCAGTCCCTCAAAGTACACCACCTTTTTCCATGGATATACATCGTGAGTTGACTCAATCTCACTGATGCCCTTTTCGCTGATGTGACTTGAGGGTAATAGTACAGCCCACTGCTCCAGTTTATCTGTACACACCTCAGTTGGGTCGTGTACTACAGGTTATACCACCACCTGTATGCCGACTTCTTATAATGCGTGTGATATCCGCTGATGCCTTTTTTCCAGAATGCCCAAGTTCGCCTCATCTATCCACCCTGTTGTTTATATCTAACTTATCATTTCAGCACCCTTTCGTTGATTTCAACGGCCCAGAATGTTTTATCCTCAGTGCTTATCTGGCGCACAACTACCGTCAGGTCTCTCCGATATATGTGAGCCATCTTCAAATCAGTCACTTCATTTTATCATTCTGTAGTGTCCAGATTACATGTCGGTCAACAGTTTAGACGGTGTTTCTACCCGTAGTCGGCACACTCGCAATTCCTCACCATGATGAAACACTGTTTCATACAGTATACGAAAAGCAGGTGAGAGCTACATCCAAATTGGAAATAACACCCTGACAGGATGAACATAGTTTGGTGACGGTGATTCCTTCGGGCTATTGACACCCAATTTTGCCGGCCAAACGGGGCAGGCATGATCATTCCAGTGTGGCAAGTGAGTTTTACCTTCATGCTAGTGTGCAGTGTTCTGTAGGCTGATTTTCATTTCCATAGCTCAGCAAGTTGAACGATACCATCTAATTCAACCCGGTGCCGTTCCCTATGGCTTCCCGCCTCCCATAGCGACCGACATGCCACCTCTTCCCACCCACACTTTCAACCAAACAACCAACTGGCTTCTGTGTTCGCGCCTCCCGCCCTCCTATCAGTTGGTGGCCAGCTTTGTCTGGTGACTTCGATTATGGATATGAGCAGGAAGACTATACCGTAGCTTCCTTG